TTTATTTTTTTTATATTTACCTTAAAAAAATAGTAAAAATAAACAATTAAAACCCGAGAAAAATAACTATTTTTTAGTATATTTACTATTTTTTTAGGGTAAATATATAAAAAAAAATAAATATATTTGTAATTTTAGGAGTTTAGAAATTGAGATTCTAAAATTTATTCGCAGAGGCATTTAAGTCAAATACCGTTAAATAAGGACTGCTGAAAGGGTTAGACACAAATTTTATGAAACCACGAGAGAGTTTGACGCAGTTTTAGAAGTAAGAGGGATTTGGTGCAATTTTATGAAACCACAACTGAATTTTGTGCAATTTAACCAAATAATAATGCCAAAGCCAACCCTATTTGCTTGTTTTCTTTTTTCTGAAGTCTACAACAAAGAAGTGGGAGAGCAGCAGATTTTTTAGGATCTGTTTGGTTCGAGGGTTTAGGAGGGGACGGGAGAAAAATGGAGTTTTTTGTGTTTAGTTCAACTTTTATTAGAGGGGATGGGAGGGGATGAGAGTCAATTTCTTCTAATTTCTTTTACCCTCCAATTTGGGGGAATTCAGAAGGGAGGGATTTTATCAAAAAAAAATTATTTAATTATCTATTATACTTTTTACATATTTTATTAGAAATTTTATAATATTTTTTAAAATTTTAAAATTTATTTATTTTATTTTTAATTATATCAAATAAATATTAATATATATTAAAATTGTATTATATATTTTGAAATAGTTTTAATTAATATTTTTTAATCAAGTTTAATTATAATAATTTTTTAATAAATTACTAATTAGCATATAATTATATCTATAATACTAATATTTTACTTCTTTTTGCCCCACATATGAGCATATTACTTTAGATACACGAGAGTTTAGATAAAATATAATTAGTAAATAATTAATAAATGTACTAGTAAAAATAATTATATATTAAAATTAAAATAACTAAATAATTTAATTAATATTAAAAAATTTATAAATTATAAAATATAAAATATTTTTATAATATACTTAGTTTATATAATTTTTGTTATAGTGTTATTATTTAAACGATAAAACTATTGTTTATCTTCATTGGTAAATTTAATAAATAACTAATGTATGAAGTATTTGATTCTTCCAAGATGTAATAATGTAATTATTGTTTTTATTATATTAGACAAAAAAAAAATTTGTATCTTATTTTATAAATAAATTAATCAAATTTTATTAAATACTTTTATTTTTCTTTATTTATATAATATAAGGGGTAAAACAGTAAAATTATTATATTTTTTCTTCCCTCCTGTTTAATCAAACAAAAAAAATATTATTTTCTTTAGCTTTACTTCCCTTTCCTTCCATATGAACTAAACACACTGTTACAATTTTAATATTTTTTTTCTTCCCTTCGCCTCTCATCTCTTCTATTAAAATCTATCATCTCCCCTGTCCTTGTTTAAACCAAACAGACCCTGATACATTTGATATGAGATGGACGTATATAAGGAAATGGATCTGACGTTAGCGGCCAGTTAAAAATATGTTTAATTTTTTTTTATATTAATTTTAATATAGATATAAGGTATGCTCACCTAAATATTTTGGTGGTATGATTTTATATAAATATTATAATAGTAAAATATATACATGATTAAAAAGTAATCATAATAATATATAAATATATTAATATAATATAATATAATATAATATATATATTTATCCATTCACAAAATAATAATATAAAATATTACTTTTTATATATTATCAGGACAATTTTATATTTTTTATTAAAAATATATATTTATTAAAAAATATAAAGTGAACAAATTTATATATATTTTTTATTTTTATTTTTATTCTTTTATCTTTTATAATAAAAATATATAAAAACAAATTTTTTTTCTTCTTAATCCAAAGTATTTCTTTTATTTTTTTATTTTTTTTTTCTTTTCGGTAGATTAAAAAACTAATCCCCTCCATCCTAATTCGGCATGGGAAATTTAGATGGATAATATTATGTAAGAAAATTTAAAAATTAATTGATACGATGAGAGAAGTTTATATTTATTTATTTTTATTTGGGCGATATTGTGGTGAGAAAAAAGAATCAAATATTATATATATTTATAGAAATTATAAAAAAATACAATATATATTTCATCAGTTCCGCGTTAATATATACATATTTTTATTTTTGTTTGTCCCGCGTTGACGTATACATTTCCTTTTCAATAACTATATTATAGGCATTAAAAATTTAATGTCTAAATTAAATTAAATATCATGTATTTTGAAATAAAATAAAATTTCAATAAAATAAATATATGGTATTTAATTATTTACATATGTTAATTTTTGTACAATAAATATCAACCATTAATGCAAAAATCTGTTTATAATGGAAGATATCGTACAGATATTACGTGAATAAATAGAGCCATAATAAAAAAGGAAATATTATAAAAAACACGTGGCACCATCTGAAAAGGAAGCCAAGACCACCCTCCCTATAAATAGGAGCCATGACCAATTTATTTGAGATACCGAAGTTACATCGAGGATTCAAGCAAATGGATAAGTTTTTAGACTATCTTTGTATTGTTCTTCATATTTTTCGTGTCCTTCGAAGTGTTCTTCGTCGAAAGTCACTGATTTGGACAAATTATCCAATTTTGGTTGACGAATCGATGGAGTTAACATTTTTCGTCGTATGCCTAAGCCGAATAAAGGATCAAAGCTCCAAAAGCTGTTGAAGGATCCGTCAAAACCAATGAAGATCTTCCCAAGTTCATCCTAAAGCTTCAAGGCCTACGTCGCGTTCTTCGTCAAAAGCATCAACCAGGCCCTCTTTGATCCAAAAGTCAAAGGGACACGTCGCCAAAAATGTTATGGAACACCAAATCCACATCTTTAAAGATCAAAGCTTCGGATCGTCCAATGAAGACATCAAATCCAAAGCCGACAATCAAATCGCCCACATGGAAACCAAAGCTCTCCAAAAGGCGACAAAGTAAAAAAAAAAGATCAAAACTTCGGATCGTCCAAAGAAAATATCAAATCCAAAATTGAGGATCAAATTCGTCTGCACGGAGACCAAAGCCCTCCAAAAGGCGGCAAAGCCAAACCAAAGATCAAAAACCTCGAATCGTCCAAAGAAGACATCAAATTTAAAACTGGGGATCAAATTCGCCCGCACGGACATCAAAGTCCTCCAAAAGGTGGCAAAGCCAAACAAAAAATTAAAGTCTCGGATCGTCCAAAGAAGATATTAAATCCAAAGTTGAGGATCAAATTCACCCGCACGGAGACCAAAACCCTCCAAAGGCCAACAAAGCCAAACCAAATATCAAAGTCTCGTATCGTCCGAAGAGGACATCGAATCCAAAGCCGATGATCAAATCTAGGGATGAAGAAATTTACCGAACATACTAAAATACTGATTTATCGTACCGTATCGTGTCAAAAATACCAAAATTTTCGGTATACCAATAATTTCGGTACGGTATCGGTATAAATTTTTAAAGAGTCAGGTATTTCAGTATAATACCGTACCGATATTATTTTTATTAAATAAATTTAATTATTAATATAAATAATAATTATTAAATTTTTTTACATCATAGCAAAAAATATGGAGACTATTGAAAATTTATTGATTTTTTCATAATATTTTTGTAGCAGAGAATAGTGATATTTATTAATTTTTTAAAATATTTTACAATTTAAAATTATAATTTTCGGTATACCGATACTTTTGGTACGGTACCGGTATGTATGTTCACCATACCAAAAAGTTCGGTACGGTATCGGTATGTATGTTCACCATACCAAAAAGTTCGGTACGGTATCGGTATCTATCGATATTTTCGGTACGGTACAGTATGTCATCCCTAATCAAATCGCCCACACGGAAACCAAAGTTCTTAAAAAGCGGCAAAATCAAATGAAAGATCAAAGTCTCGGATCATCTAAAGAAGACATCAAATCCAAAGCCGATGATCAAATCGCCCACACGGAGACCAAAGCTCTCCAAAATGCGGCAAAGCCAAACCAAAGATCAAAACCTCGGATCGTCCAAAGAGGACACCAAATCCAAAGTCGACGATCAAATCACCTGCATGAAGACCAAAACCGACGATCAAATCACCCGCATAAAAACAAAAGCCCTCAAATGTTTGCCAAATCCAAACCGAAGACCAAATCTCTTCGAATGAAAGAAGCCATTCAAATTTAAGTTGGAAACAAATCAACCCGGAAAGAGAATCAAAGGACCCATACAGAGAATATGACCCGCTTTAAATCCAAATCAAATATAATTTGTACAAATTTTGTTTTTATTAAAAATAACACAATTTTTTCTCTACATATATATCTCTTTTTTCTTTTTCTTTTCTTTTGTTTTTTACAAATACTCTATATTTTACCTTTACATAATTACTTTTAAATAAAAAAGTAAAACAAAATTGTCTTTAAATAATGTGGGACGGGGGAAATATAGTATATATACCTATTCACTCGTAAAAAAAATCAATAATCAAATACAAAATATTATTTTTGTTGGGGTGTAAATTCAAGTTCCATATTGGAAGTTGTGAAGAAAATTAAACACCTTGTAAGTCCCAAGTCGAATTCCACTCACTAGTATGAGACCTTTTGGAGAATATCTAAAAATAAATTCGTGCGGGCTCAGCTCAAAACGGACTACCCTCCGACGCCTCAGGTCATCTGCCATACATGGTTCGTCTAATGCGACTTGTCTATCGGACTTAGTTTACAGGGTATTAGATTCGACCGAAAATTTACATGGATTCCTCGTCATAAAAATAAAATAAAATAAATAAATAGTAACAATTACAACGTACGCGGTATCGAAACCAAATCAGCCGGCCTAATTAATAATAATAAATATAAGTATGTTTTGTCGTGGTTCTGAAAGCCCTCGAGTCAGCAGTTGGCCTAAACTATACATTATATAGTCTCGTTGATCACACCATCACAACCACAGCCGGGGAGCGGAGCAACCTCAATATTATTATTATTATTCTATTACTAATTAATGGCGAAGAGCAAAATGGAGCTGGAAGAGCTGTACCTGGGAGTCCCCGACGACTCCGTCAACCTCACTTTCCAACACTTGGCTCAGCTCAACAACAACAGCAGATCGCTTACCTCGCCGGCCGTGTCCGAACGATCTATGACAAGGCCGACGACGGCGATGGCGAAGCTCCCGAGTCTCGACTTCAGCAAAGGGCTGCAGGAAACATCATCGGCCTTGGAACATAAGATCATCTACCGCCGCGACGACCACGATCATCATCGTGTTCATCAAGGAGGATACCGCAGCGATGTCGACACGATGAATAGCCAATTCAGTGGGACGACGAGCATGAGCATGAGCATGAGCATGAGCATGGCGGATAATTATGGAGCCGGCCGAAGGAGGCGCCCGGGGATTCCGCACTCCAATATTTGCACCGTGTGTTGCAACTACATCTATATTTGCCGTCACCGTTGCCTGGTACGCCGCTCCTCCGTCAATTCTACTAGTATGATGTTGTCGGTTTTAAAAAAATAATACTAATTAGTTAATATTAATTTAAAATTATTTTTATTATAAAATAATTATTTTTACTAATACATTTTTAATTATTTAATAATTATATCTTTCTAAATTCTCGTTTCTAGAGTGAAATAAACAACACAGTAGCCGGAACAGAACAGAGAGAATAATAAATAAATAAATACTCATACTATGTAAAATTAGATTCTAAATTATAACCAGTTTCTCAAACCAAGAACAACAAAGCTAGTAGGCTCACATTAGTATTGCATAGCCATTAATCAATTAGCATATATTATCTTCGTTCATTCGTAAACTTTCTATTTTATCATTTTAGTTTAATTACTTCTTCCGTTCTATAACAAATTATCCATTTTTTCATTTTAGTCCATCCATAACAAAGTATTCATTTCCTTTTTTAATAACTGTACTATCTACCTAACATTACAAATATTCTTACAACTTACAATATATTACACAAATGTCATTACCTTTATATCACACGTACTAACAAAGTTATTTTAGTCATTTCTACTTTATTCCTACTATATCTCAATATAATACTAATATTTTTAAAACTACGTGCAAAAAGCAAATGGATATTTTTTTTGAATGGAGGGAGTACAATCTTTTATTTATTTTTATTAAATAACAATATATTCTTATTTTTCACCTTTTATATTACTTTTACTTTAATTTCAATGGTAAAATAGATTTTACACTTCTTTATTACACTGTATATACACGTGTATGCAGGTGTGTGGAAGAGTGTACTGCAGACAATGCGTGACCATAGGTATGGGAGATATGACTGAAGGCAGAAAATGTATTGACTGTTTAGGGAGAAGATTTAGCCAAAGGTACGGTCTTATACAACTGTAGTTAACTTTTAAATAGTATTTTCAAATAATTAATTTTTTTTTTTTTTTTTTCCAAAATTTTAAAATTTGAGAAACGGGGTGCATTTTTTTTGGATTTAAGTTGAGAAATTTAATTTAATTTTAAAATTTAAGTTGATTTGATAAATCAACACATATAAAATACATAAATTTATTCCATATAAGATATATTGTTTGTAATAAAAAAATATTTTTTTTATATTTGTAATTACATTATGTACTGTATAAGAGTATGTGATAAATTAAAATCAACTAAGATATGTCAGACTATATCATATTATTCTCTTAATTTATTGTATTATATTAATATAAATGATGTATTACAATATGTACAGTAATATCATCAGTTGTATATTAGCTATGTTGAATTTTAAAATTCGTAACCGTCACTATTAAAATAGATAAGTATTAATATATATTTTTATTTATTAAATTATCACATTATATATTTATTTTTTATTTAATCATTTTACTAATTTAAAAATCTAATCATCAATATAGGCAAATATATATCTCTATATATATATATAATACCCAAAATTTTCCCATGGGATAAGCCCCGTTTGGTCCCAATGCATTATTGGGTTTGTGTTCAAATCAATCAATATAATTTATTGATAAACCAAACAATAAATAAAATCACTAACAAACACATTCCTTCATGGAAACAACCAAAAGAAGAAACCTATAAACTATCTTTCACAACGCATAGACCATTATACATTTGTAGTTTTCCTAACAGCCATTTAGTAGGCCGGCCAAGACCTCTGACCGATTAATAGTATTTTGTATGTAATAATATTATTATAATATGCAAAATTTCAAATTTATATATTATCAATAATAAGTAATAATTTAACATAATCTACTACTACCGATCAAATTTAGATAATATAAATTTAATTAAATCATAATATGAACATCTAAAATATCTCAACAAATATTATTACGACAGGTACATTAAGAAGGCTGGAAACGTAGGGTGGTGTTGCATGGGGTACCCGTCGGGGCTAAAGCAAATGGAGCTCAAGTGGGCCGAGAAAGGGCCAAGAAGGAGCGGCGAAAACAAATATTACAGCAACAATCACGCCATGATGTCGAGGACAAGAAGCCCTATTGTCCCGCCGTCGCATAGCAATCCGCCTTCGTTTGTGATGAACTCATCGCCGTATAACTCGCCGAGGAACCAACACTATCCCATGCCTTTCTAGATATATGTTTGTATGCATAAATGTGTGTGTGTTTTTTCGATTGATTCCTATCTTTATGTAACAATAATATTTATTGGTTTTTTGGTTTGTTTGTTATTTGATTTGTTTGGGAATTCAAAAATATTTCTTACATGGTTTGTAGGATCATGAATTTCATGTCTATTTAGGATAACAATATAATTTTAAATGCTGACAAATGGAAGAAAGCAAGTTATACAGAGCAATGTCGATAGAAACAACAAAATCTGATGCATTTTTTTTTAATGAATATTCATATTATAATGGACAGATTTTACTCATAGCAAAATATTAATTAAACATATATTAATATAGTAAAAAATTATAATATTCTTAATGAATTTATCTCTATTCTTCTTGAAGATAACGATTTTTTTTTTCTATTTAACAATTTTTTACTATTTATTGTGAATATAAAAAAGTACTTTTTCATTAAAAGTAATATTTATATGTCTCTCTCTTCTTTGATAACGTAATTTATTATTTATTAATTGCATACAAAAATATTTAAAATTCATGAATTAATAAATAATAATTAAAAATTAATTTTTTATTTTTATTTCTTCTATATTTTAAATTCAATTCCTTCTTCATGAATTATTTGATAGTGTTTTAGAAGAAAATGATAGATATGGAAACTTTTAAGTAAGTTATTACTAATCAAAGATCTATATTCTCACTAACCAAATAAATATCAAACAATCAATAAAGAAAACTTGAATTTATTACGGAAGCAAGCAATTCGGAGTTAGATTATCCTATTATCGAACAAACAGACACCGAACATACATCTAAGACTCCGACTACAAATGATACGCCACAGAAACGCAACAAACATGCAAACCCAAACCCTAATATAAGGAAACATTGCCGAAATATTAAAGCCAATAAAACATCGTTGATAATGCATATATTGTCCTATATTTATATAGATAAATTATAAACTATAATTAATGTTATGGATAGATTTTGCAATTACATGAACAATTAAAGACGCAACCATCTATAAAAAGGGGCCAAGGCATGAGATGAGATATCACTTCACTTTTCATAGTCTAAGTAAAGCATTAAGAAGGTCGTTTAGAGAGAAAACACTTTTGGATGATCTTTATTTATAAGCATGAGTAGCTAATTTCCTAACCTAGTCCAAGGTTGAATGTAGATTTCGGATTGAGATTTGTGAGATTGTGCGATTTCTGTGATTCATATATGCAATTGTTTTATTTAATCTTTTATCGTGGCCAGATCTTAGATTGGGTTAGTAATTGTGTGTCAATTGAACATTTACATCCGTAATTATGTATGTGTTTCATAAAGTGGTAGTACTGATGGGACTGACCCGAAGGTCATTCTAAATCCGTCGGTTGAAAGCGGCCCAAAGGAAGCCTGCCTGGCCGATGTTCGAGATTCTTTGACCTTTTTTTATGGTGATCAGAGGTCCTCCAGATCCGGCACTCCCACCGAACATAGTAACATGGTCATACTTAAGTGCCCGGGAGGTCGGATCTGCTGCGAGGTTGGTTGTAAGGCCCGCGGGAGGCCAAATATCTGGCCGGCTGGAATCGACCTTCAGGACCTTGCTTTTTCGAGTTTCTTCCTCCGGAAGCAGCGCAAACTCGTTCCAAACGGCGGGTTTCACAACGTCAGTAATATATTGAGATAGTTTTTGGACGGATCCGTGAAGAGATGACCGAATTTTCCCATGGATGTGCTCTGAAGTACACTGGCCGGAATGCTAATGATTTGGTCCGGCCTTCCAGAAGCCGCAGAAACCTCGTCGCACGGGCTAGCTTCCTGCGCAGGGCGCGATGACGAGTCGCCGACGATTTCTTTGTTTTTTGACATCTCTATAGTCGTCGGCGGTGTCTGTTTTCTCTACCGAAGTGGCATAGAAAAGTAACTAGACGTCGGTGTCCCACTGGGCGTACCAATTCTGTTATCGTAAAAAAATCACCTCCGGAGGCTTAATCGGAAGCCCACCAGAATCGATTTGTTCGAAGGATCCCCGGCCTCCTCGAGAAAGAATCCGGACTATTTCGCGATATCCGAATAATCTACGAATCAAAGAAACTAGAAGCTAAAATTAATAACGCAATAGAGAAACTAAAAATTGGAATTTAAATCGATAAAAGCTGGAAAATAATACAAAAAATAAGTGCAGAGAAAAATTTAATTGAAGAAGACATGAATGAATGGCATCTTTTCTCCGCTCCTAATCGCTCAATTAATTATTTGGATTTATTCAAATATGAATGAACAGAACTTAATTTACAGCGATACTGCTTTAACCACCTAAATACAACTTTCTCTACAAGCTAACATTGTTTTTCCAGGGATAGAAAATAGATAATTGTCACATTTCCTGATGGTCACTTGAGATATACCAAAATCTAATTCCTAAAAAAAAAAAAAAAAGGAAATAAAACCTATAAGAATTTTTTAGTATATAAAAAATTGAAGTTAAAAATCTCACAAAGGGCGCTGTGACAAAAACAAACAAGGAAACAACATTACACTAGTGTATGTATATCATAAGTAGAAATAATCACAGTATAATCTATTCCCCAAAACCATCTCGACATCAACCGTCGGCGACGCCTCCGAGACTCGGCCGCCGACAATTCACGGCGGCGAAGGCCCCATGCTCGGCGGGGCGTCCTTTTCCGAGTTCATCGGCGCATTCTGTTCGCGTCGAGGATAAAAGTTCAAGTCGAGCTTCTGTCCTTTCTTCGCCTCCTCGTCCAAATCCGTCTCGTTTTTTGGGGTGTTCATATTCATACTCATATTCGCCTCGCGCTCGGATTGCCGCTTCTTCTTGCGCATCATCAGTGTCTTGAAACGGCGCCTCACGGTCAGGCAGACGTTGCACTTGCACGTCGGCTCGTGCTTCCCCTTCCCGCTCGGCGGCTGAATGCACACGATGCAGCTGCAGCCGGGTCGGTGTCGAGGATGCCGGGTCGTGGCCACGACCGACGACTCCGCTGCGGCGTCGCCTAAATTGTCGCCGAGAACTGCGGCGGTCGCCAAGGCATCCAACCCGGAAGGCTCTCCCGCTTTCGGTACCCGATTGTCAAACGAAATCTTCCGTCTCTTCGAATCTGGAAAACATGGAAAGAAAATATCACTCATCGTGTCGATCTAATGTAAAAAAGTCGAATTTTGTTCGTACCCTTGTGAATACTGCAAATGTTCTCCAGATCCTTTGGATTTATGTCCTCTGGAGCCGAACATGAACACCTGAATGAAACGGCGAAACAGTGAAATCATCGGTAAATAAAAATTTTCAGTTTTTTGTAAAGATTGCTGACCTTTTTAAGTCCCACTTATTGTCGGCACACGACCACTTTACCGAAAGAAGAGCATGCACAGGCAATCTTCGCCATTTCAAACAACTGTCGCATTGCGCCAGCTGTTCCTTTTCTCTGATAAGATTTCGAGACACAATCAGGGAACGTAAGATACTCCCACCTTAAACAATATCCGAAAGCCATCGAATAAGTACAAGATCGATCATGGTAATACTTACCCTGAAGGCCGGGAAGTGAAGACTGTGCGTTTTCCAAAAACCGGAGGTTCCTGGTCGAGGATCCTTTTAACAGTAAGAACTCAAGAACCACATTGACATTTAACAAATTCATAAAGAAAACTTTGCGTACTTCGAATTCCTCAAATTCATGGTCCTCGACCATCACAACGGACAGCTTCGAAGTGGGAGACGGACGAAGCAACTCCTGGGCGTCTTCCCATGTAATTTTTAGCTCCATAGCATCGTTTGTGTGAATGAGAAGCCTCTTGTTTTTAATGTTTCGGGCCTTTTTCTTATCCACGACAGGTATATGCTTCTGAAGTGAAACATTCTTCCCGATCAGCGGAAACATCTCAATAAAAATGGAGGTAAGAACACAGAACGGAAGGGAAATAACAGTTATAAAGAACCAACTTACAGCGATGCCTGAAAGCGACATGTCCACCCCAGAATCGCCGTTTGGCAAAGTGGTTGTCTGTGCATCCTAAATGTTTACAAGAACATCATTGCAACAAAAGTTCGAAGAAAATAAGTGGATAGGGAACAAGAAAATGATACATAAAATATCAGACCTGCCCTTCTCCGTTATTCAGTGCCTTCCGACAGCCTATCACAAGCTTAGCGCCAGGGTCTATCCGACTAAACGTCACTATTAAGATCAAACAAAAGATTTCTCCTAAGATCTTTTATTGCTCAGAAATTTCATTTTAAACCATTGATAAACAAACTGTTGGACAATATTCAGCGCATATTGACAAACTTAACTATAATTCAGTAAAGAGCATGATTGACACTGGGAAGAGCCAAAAATCAGTATGTCCTATCAGATATACTCATTTCAATATTAGTCCTATAATTTGTTATTAAATTTTGGCAGACTATGTAGGGAAAAAACAGAAAAGAAAAGTTGAGATTAAATTATTACAATTTAGTCTCATGATATTTCCAGCCATTGCTATAAATAGAATCCAAACAGACAATTTTAAATAAAAGTTACAAAAGCTTTCTAAGCAACTTCAACTTGTATGTATGGCTTTGTACGAGCAGATTAATTAATTTTGACAAGAAGAAATACTGGGATGTGTCCGCCTTTATTTAATCTCACAAAATATAACATCCATACCACTGTTAAAAAAAACAATTACCAAAAAGAACAAAAAAAAATGATTAAAAGTTATTAAAATTTAACTTCAACATAAAACTTTTGCAAATGGAGAAGGCAAATTTAAAAAGCTTTTACCGGGAATAAAATTGAAAATTACATATTGGTCTATTGCAACCACAGCTTAATATTTTCTAGGGAAAGAACTCAAAACGAGAAAAAAAAAATATATTTCACTTTGTAGGTTGTTTCTTATTGGTAACTTCACTTTTATTCAACACTTCACTTTATTAAGAATGTCTAACAAAAAAAAAAAAAAGAATGTCTAATAACAAAATAAACACGTCAATATATTAGATAGGATGGGATAAATCAGTTATCTAAAGTTAAGCTGCAAAACACAGAATAAAATAGAATACTGACATAAACAACATTGTTAATGTTACAAAAACATCCAAAAAGTTTATCAAACAAATACTCCCTCCATCCCATATATGATGAAACATTTGGTTTTGGTATGAAAATTTAATTAGTATTAAGTATAATAAAATAAGAAATAGGTAATGTGATGAGAAAGAAATATATTTTATTTTTTTATGAAATGTAATATTATTTTCTATTTTAAAAATATTACATGGTACGTAGGACAGACTAAAATTAAAAATATTGCAAAATAGGCAGGGGTAGGGATGGTCGGAGTACTATTTAATAGTTCAGCATCGGCATTAATTTTTCCTAACGGCCCCTTTGTGAAACTATTGTCTATATATATGTGCCTTTTTCCGGTTGTATCCTAACCCATAATTTTCCTTGATATATAAAGATTAGATTAATCAATAAAATTAGCTCAGAAATTTTCATGTCAATGCAAGATATAATATAATCATATTTCAATAATAATTAACTAGAAATACAAAAACCATAATAATATCGAGAATATTACCTTAATTTAACTTCAAGATTCTAAGATAAGATCACTTCATAAAACTGACTCTAAAACTTCTCTCTCATAACAATCGCACATTCATGAAAATAATCAAAATATAACTATACAATCATTTTTAGACTTAAATAACAAAGTTTAGGGTTGGCAATGAGTCGGGATAAAGCTAATACCAACTTACAAAGTAAGCTTTGGATTACATTTTAAATGGAAAATAGGTATTGTTGTAGTTCTATTTTGAATGAAAAATAGGCTTTCGATATTATATTTAAAAAACATCACGCTGGATACTTATATCTAATTTAAAATATCACATCGAAAACCTTTTTTCTATTCAAGCATACATCCAAAGCTTATTTTCAATTCAAAACCTATTTTTAGTCAAATTTAGAGGATTACTAAAACAAAACAACCAATTCACACCTTTAAGAATTTTTTACTAAGTTCGATAAACAAAGAATAGCCAAGAACATACCTGTGTCGCCAGCTCGTACATCCATATTTTGGATGCACGGAGTAACACCCTCCAACACATACATACGGCTGTTGTTATTTGGCCAAAACCGAAACTGAAATGTCCATTCTTTTCCCTTTATGTCTTGAATTCGTATCGGTATGCCTTCCGATTGATTTATAGGGGGAAAGTAGGCCTGCAAAAGACATACACATCTCACACAATGCATATCGATAGTAACATAAAACAATCATGCAATCATCACGCAAAACTCGAAACCAAGACACACTTCAGCACAGGCTTTCGGAAGGACGAGGCGACCAATTCTCCCCGCATCGCTAGCGCTCAGAATTTTCTCAAACAACGGCACGATTGTTGATTTCAAACTACGGATTGAGAGTTAAGGCATATCCCGGACACAAATTAAATGATACGATAACAACAAAATCAAATGGTACGGATACTCTCCAGATAACTGCTGCAGTTCTTGGTCAGTGATCCTCGGCCAATACCGAGGTAGTAACTGATTGCGGCCGCGCCCTTCCCCCGGAGGTCTGGCGACACGTACCTGTGAAACGGCTCCTTTATTTATTTCTGAAACTATTGGGGAGCTGGGTTTGGGCAGCTTCGGCATAATATGACATTCTTTTTGGTCTAGTGGTGAAGAACTCTTGCTCTGTCCACTGCCTTTGTTAATTCCGCTTGGAAAAGGTACCCCGATTCCAGAACAACCTAATGGATTCACCCGAGCAAAATTTATTGATCGTTGAGCTGCAGATTCGAACATACCCTTAACCCCATCTTTTGGCTTGCTGTTGTCAGGTTTAAGAAGGGATGGAGCAGAATGCTGTTCCGGAAGAGTCGCAGGGCATTTGCTGCTCTGCATAATTTTGAAAATGGGGTCGTCTTGTTTATATTGCTCGAATGCCGAACATGCGTTGTTGGTGCTGATCACCTTCGTCAGTTGCAGTAGCTTCTCAGTGCTAAACTTGTCCCCATCGATTTTTTCCTCACAAACTACAGGATGAATGTCTTGAACAGCATTTGCAACAATTGCGTCGCTGGGTATGTTGCATGGAATCTGAAATAATCGAGTGAGTATAGGGGCACCAAACACGGAAGACAACGGAAATGCAAATAATTTGAAGAATATACAGAAGTGAAGAAAAGTGTGCACGACAATGAGACAGGATGCAATAACGTTATGCTGTAACAACGCTTTCTTTTGTACCATTTTGTTTTTCAACACGGCTACCACAAGGATAACTAATATGAATTGACCGACTCTTTGAAACCTTAGACAAGCTTTAATGATGTGTCACAAATTAGTGGCATCATAACCTTAGTTTGCTTATCAACGACCTCAGACTACTAATTTTATGATAATAGTTTCCAAGGATATCCAAAGTTAAATGTCCGGGCAATCCTACTTCTGATTGTTTCAGAAACCGAGGTATATTATTTATCAGCACTAAGCATCAGCATTTCATATATATGTAATCAATATATTGCACACAAATAGATGAGTATTCTAAATATATATATATATATATATAAACTCTTAGCATATTCAATTGATCGAAAACAACATATGAATGTATCGACACCAATTCCGCCGGCTTCATAACCAATCCAATGCCAGCCACATAAGACATCACAAGATCAAAGAAAAGTAAAAAAAAAAATGAAAATCAAAACTAAAGCAACAATAACAATGCACCTGAATCGATTGGTGCACCGGATGTACTTCCAAAGGCTTAGTACAGTTGGTGCACCGAACCCCTCCGAAATCCATACATTCGTGCAGATGTCTCGATGCAATACAACCACAGTGGATTCTCTACAGAACAAAATCAAATATATTTCGGACAGAGCCAAACAACAAACGAAATAGAAAAGACTGAGTAGTTGTCTAGTGGCATTGCTACCTTTCCACATACTCTGCATTCTCTCCAACCGGATTCCTCCAAGTGAAAAGTTTCACAGAACATCGAATTCTCGTACGCTGAGCTGGAATTCATACAAAACCGATCAAATGAGAAGACAAACACGATAACCACAAAATGACGTTTTAGCAATTGATATGGACTCAGTTTTGGGACATACAGTTCAGCAGTACAAGAATTTATAGCAGAGAGGATTGTTGAATATAATATATATATATATGTGCGTGTCCACATTTGTAAAAGAACTTCCTACCGCCATGTGAATCCGAATTTGAAAACCTCAGCAGAAATCGAAGTAGATATTCGTAATAAAATGATGTAGTTAATTCTGAAAATTACCCGCAGGCGGTACAGAGTGTGGCGAATCCGCCGGATTTCAAGCTCCAGCCTTTCTTCCACTCGGACAACGTCGTTCCACGGCACGCCTCGTTCGTGCAGTTATTCGACCCCATTTCCTAATATTGCAATCAGAATCCCCGTTTCCTAAACCCTAACTCAAATCCAGGAAGAAATCAGAAACCCTAGAAAACAAAAATCATGGGCGAAACCCAGTTGACCCAGAACAAGAAAAAGAAGAAATAAACCCCATCACTCTCCAAAATTAAACAATCCAACTTCCAACTCACCTTGATCGAACCAAAAATCGCGCAATCGAATTAACGTCCAAGGGTAAAGTCAGAGCGTCTCATCGTTTGGTACCAAAGATTTTAAATTGAAGAGAGGGGTAGGGAAGGCGACAGGCCCAGCGGGGGAGTGCAGAGAGCAGCAGGCAGCTATCAATCAATATATATATATATATGTATGTATGTGTAGAGGACAGGACTAAATGAGGGATGGAGGAGGGGAGCAGCGTGAGTGCATGCAGCAGCAGCAGCAGGAGCAGAGGATGGCAAGAGTGTCGTCGTTGATCTGCTGCTGCGCCTGTACCAGTCTGTTTGTCGACGTCGTCGTCGTCGTCTCTACGAAAGATTGTGGTGTGGTTGAAGAGAAATCGTGGAGAAGTGGGGTGTTACGACACGCGAACATACGTATATACGAAATGAATTTGGGCGAGAAAACGTGAGGGCAAGGCAGTCGTATGTTTAGTCAACTCAACCCAGAGAGATAAATAGGCTCTTATTTATGCACGTATGTTTATGTTTTGGGAGGGAATTATAGGCCCCAACCCTTGTCCCTTGTCGTCTCACCAACCCCTCCAATGGCATATAACCACCTGTGTGTTTCTTTGGAAATATTTAATTTTAATTTTATTTTAAAATAATCTTTAATTTAATATATATTTTCTTTTCAATAATAAAATTTAGAAGAAATTTCCAGAAAAATATAAAAGAATTATTATTTATTTATTTTAGTCAATAAATATAATTTTATAATTTAATCTTTATTATTTATATATATATAATGATTCATAATTCCGATTTTTTCGTCTTTTTTCTTATTAGATATCTTTCTCTTCAGATTACTACACCACATCTCTATTATCGAACTTTGCTTGATTCGGAGTTGATTGAGCGTCTATGGAATCGGTAGGAAGCTGATGAACTTAAATCCAGCACCGTTTCAATAAAAAATTATTGTGTTAGATCCTACCGGAGAAATGATGAAAAAGATGTTATAATTTAGGACAAGATATGCCTGAGGAATGTGACAAATTTGAAAACGATGGAAAGAAAGATTGTCGATTCAGTTAATGACAATGAAAAAACTTATAATAGGAGAAGTATTTAATGTAAGTTTAAAAGTACAAATAAATTTTTAAATAGTAGATATATTGGATTCCCTGGTCTAGAGGCTCTCTATCACCGTCACTCACTCCAACAGAAGAGTGACATATAATGACTTTTACATATATATTTTGAATAAAATTTTAAAATTTATTAAATTACATATTAACCATAATTTGATATTGACATTGTCCCTAAATTGATTCAGAGTTGAAAAGTCACAGGCCGCGAAATCTCTTGTCATCTTGTCACCATCATCTCTTTTTTGGCTTTTGTCGACCCACAACAACTTTTTAAATTCCTCTCTCACAGACCGTGGTTATTTCGATGTTACATTATCTCATCGACATTCTCCTCAAGTATCTTCTTTACTTTTCATATCGCAAAAAATGTTGTGGTAATCATATTTAAAGTAGTCGTTGTGTGCTAAATTGTTTTGAAAAGTGGCTTGGAACTTATTTATGCAAACCGTTTTAGAGTTTATGTAATTTATTTTACTCATTTGAAAAATGGTTTTGAAGTTGGGAATAGCTATTGTAGGCTTATTTGCGTAGCTATTGTGTGCTTTTTCATTTGTAAATTGATTGGAATTTGGAATCTTTCATTTCATTGTAGTTCACTTTACAGGGCTTGAAATTTGATGAATTAATAAAGATGACTAAATTTGATACAGAGAAAAGATTATATCAGTTTATGCTAAAAAATAGGCTTTAACATAAAAAAAACAAGATGCATAATGATAAAAAGAATAAGATAATATCTAAAACATTGTATGTAGTGTTGAAAAAAAGCGAGAGGAGGATAAATAAAGTATTACTACGAAAGCTTCCAAAGCTAATAACAAGATTGATTGCATGACTAGAATAAAATTTTATTTGAGAGAGAATGCAAAATATCAAAGTTGTCAAATTCATTTCTGAACATAGGCATTACCTTAGCACTTAGGATACACATTTATTTAGGACACATAAGAGGATAAATAATGTTCACATACTACATAAATAGAGTTGGCAAAATGTGTGAGACATACTCTAAAACTCATGATATTATGGTTAAAGAAGTCGGCGGTTGAGACAATTTTGGATTTATTAAGCATGATTATAAGAATATTATGCTAAAAAGAAACAAAATATATGGAAGTTGGAGAACCGGTGAAGTGCTTGAGTATTTGCAAAGATGCAAAGTACATACCGAAATTATTCGTATTCCATTCGAGTGGATAGATATGATATAATAGGTAATATATTTTGGACAAATAGCATAATGAAAGAAAATTATGCTGATTTTGGAGATATTGTGAGTTTGGATACCACAAAAGTTATCCATTTTCATTGTTTGTTGTTGTCAATCATTGTATATAAACAATAATATTTGGTGCTTCACTTTTACGATGAGACAATTCCTTATTTGAATGATTGTTTGAAACGTTCATAGAAATCAGGGTGGAAAAAACTTGTCACTATTCTTACATATCAAGATCATGCTATGATGAATGCATTAGCTAAATGATGGCCCAAAACTTATCATGGGTTATTTATTTGGCATATCTATCAAAATGTTGCAATACATTTGAGTGAGTTTCATGAAAAATATAAAATCTTGCATATGATTTTGAGAGATGCATTTATGATTCTGAAGAAGAGAATGAGTTTCTGCACAAATGAAATGAAATGTTTGTGAAGTATGATGTAGTGGAAAACGATTGGTTGAAAAGGTTGTTTAGAGTAAAAGAGAAATAGGCATTGGTATATGAGCATTAATTCTTCTATGCTGATATTACTACAATATAACATAACAAGGGTATTAATGTGTCGTCAAAAGGTACGTGGGTTATAAGAACCCTTTGCGAGTATTTTTTTTTAACAGTTTGAAAATTTTATTGAATCTCACTAATACGAAGAGTTGATGATTGATTTTAAAGTAAGTACGAGTGTTTTAGTGCTTCCTATACACATTCAATTTTTGAAACATACTAAAAATGTGTATACACCTGAAGTTTTAAAAGATTTTCAAAATGAACTATGAAAGGCTTATTATTGCACTGGCACAAATGAAACAATAGAATTATATCATGTCAATTATCTAGGAAGATTAAAGTGTCAAATTGTGAAATTTAACTTTTTAGATGATACTATTTTTAGTAGCTACAAGAAATTTGAATTTGGTGGTTTTTATGCGCTCATGCGCTGAAATCTTCTCAAATAATAATGTTTTCAATATTCCAAAATAATATGTGATGAGAAGATAAACAAAATTTACTAACATGGAGTGTGGTTCCGTAGGTGATGTGAATGATAAAAAAAAATGGTTGAGTTTTTTTTTCCAACAAAATGGTCATACAGGCTTCAAAAACTAAAAAAAAAAAAATGTACTTCCTCTGTCCCATGTAATATATCCATGCAAATGTAGATACGAGATTTTAGGTAAAATATAATTAATAGGTAATTAAGAAATGTATTAGTAAAAATAATTATAAATTAAGATTAAAATAACTAAATAATTTAAATAAGATTTTAAAAAATTATAAATTATGAAGTTTAAAATGTGAATAAAGTGTAGAATTATATTTCTAAAAAAAATGACAAATTATGTGGAATAGAGGAAGTATGAATTGATGAAAGAATCATCTGTGAAAACTATTGAAAAGGTGAATGAATATTTATACAAATGAAATATTATGGGTGAGCGATCATCTATGAGAAATACTCAAGCAAATTTAAAAATTGAGGGGCTGTAGAGAAAAAATGCAACATACATCTGAAGGGGATAACGAAAAAAAGATGATGTGAAATCTTCTATCATGACCTCTTTGTGATGTGTAGTCTTTTGTTTTTACCATCCAGATCAAAAGAAAATGTATTATATAAATGCTTCGAAAACTAATGTTATTAAGCTTAGTTGAAGCAGTAGGTGCAAAATTTTGTTGTTTCCAGATCTTCAAGAATTGTTATTTTTCTTAAACTTGAATTGTGTTATATGATACAAATTCTAAGCAACTATTTTTTTTTATTATTTTATGTTTTAACAAAACAGGTTGCCCATGTATAAAAGTTTACACTATCTCAAATACGATACTATTTCTTTGCCCATGATAATTAGGCACTACATTTTTCTTTCCTAAGAAAGTCTTTTTTCTGATCCGGGGGTACGTATTCATTGATAACAATGACTAATTGTAGCATCGTTCATTTGAAATGCAAAAAACAAACACTAAAGATAATGATAATAAAAAAAAACTTGTACCGACGTTACATAGTCATCCGTACAATAAACTTAAATAATTTGAAAATAAAAATATAAAAATCAATCATATTAAAACCTTTATACAAAACCCAAAGGCATAATTTTTTCATTTTGGTCGCCTACATTTTTTTTTACTTTGTGCTCTAATTTCATCATATCTTTCAATTTTTGCACTCTTCTCTCAACTATTTCACTATCTTTATTAACTCTAGTATCTCTCCCCAGTAATCTTCTCAATTGAAGAAATGACAACCATTTGGAACACCTGCATTTGCACAATTTCAATAAATATTCAAAATATCTCCAAAAATATTTATCTAAACACATTTCAAACTTCAATCATCATTTTCGATTCAAAAAATTCAACTCCAAAACTCTTGTCAAAACGGAACTTATAATTATTCTTTTTGTGGATTGAAGATAAATATATCTCACCATAAATATTTTTTTTTCATGTACACTAACTCTGGAGTTCTAATAGCATTCAATATATTAGGCTGCTATGGATTGTTTATACATAATTCAAAATTCAAAATTTCTCATAAATTAATTATAATGTACTTTCTTTTTTTTTTTAATTGAAAGTTACTTTATACTCTTCAGTTTTTCCATTTATATATTCTTCAAATCAACATCCGTAATATATACAAATAGCACACAGTTATATTATACACAACACAGTCTTATTATACACAACACATGTTGTGTTTAATAAAGACATGTGTTGTTGGTTCATAATTATAAGTATGTTTTAGTATGTAGTGTGCTAGAATCAGCTATTGTTTGTGTTATATAAAACTATAGCATGTGTTGTATTTGTATTGTTAGTTCATAATTACAAATGTGTTGTATAAGAGTATGTGGTGTTGAAATCAACTATTGCTTGTGTTGTATAAGACTATAGCATATGTTGTTAGTTCATGATCTGTATTTGTATTATACAAATGCATACAGTGTACTGTCAATAGTAATACCGTGCACAGTGCCGCCCTATATAAAAAGCCGTTATTACCTTCACTATCACCATTCTTCATTATTTTCATCATTGTTTTTCATTTGTTGTTGTTACTATTGCACAAAAAAATACTCACTTCATCCACTTGATAAACATATATTTTGTTATTTTTTATTTTCCAAACATAAAGTATCTATTTTATTTTTAGTATGTATAGACTCCAATTCGCTTATGGTGTTGATTACTATAATCAACACCGTGCTGAAACAATCCATACCGTAGATTGAAAGAAGAAATCAAGGGTTGATATTTAAGCGATGAATTAAAATGTAATTGTATGTACTATAGTAATTATAGAAACATGTAATTATGTATCCTTCCTAATTAATATGATTTATATAATGAATAGCAATCAATTTTGAATATGGAAAGAAATAAAATATTTTGTCCTAAAAAATCTAAGCATTTATATATTTATTTATTTTATGTTTACCGTTTTTTTTTTTAGAAATTTTTCTAAACCCTCCAATTGATCGATTATTTGCTATGTGAAGGAGACAAACAATATTTTAGGAGATGTGCATCACAATCCTTCTATCACATACAACCACAATGCTTCTGCATCGTCACCAAACACGGGTAACCTTATAAATATATTTTGCGGGTGATTGTTCAGAATATACTCCACAGCATATTTCATTGTTTTTAATAACATGTTTTTATACGGTTGACATCATATATTGCTAATACGAAAAGCAAGCTAAAAATTGATATGGCTAGCGCTCAATTCTTTTTATTATTGGATTTATTTTCAAATTTAAAATGCATAAAATATCTTCTTGTATAGCTAACTACTACTTACATTAATTGACAACAAATGTATTATATACTAATGGATTACATAGTGCAGTGAGACATATGTAAAATATATGTAAATTTCATAAAAAAAAATAAAAATAAAAATTGGACATGCCGCGATAGTATGTTATCCGATTACAAATAGCATTTATCAATGACGTTGAAAGCAATTATCATTGTAAAGAATATCATTCTATGTTAATAACAGGAGGATTGGGCTTCAACATACCAACAGTCAATTTATTCTCTAGATGACAAAGTATTTTGATTTAGACATACCAACAACAAATAAATTTACTCAACTGAAAGATAATCGTAAATAAAATGACTGTCTGACACTGGAATCACTCCGATAAGTTGGGCGAAGTTGATTTCGAACTTTGGTTGGTGTCGCTACTGAATGAGAAGAAGGATGGAATGTTTGATTGATTTTGGGTTGGCGATCACCGCGGAAATAGCAACAACGATATTGATGGAAGCCAACAACGGCGGAAGAGCAATAGGAAATGCAGTTTCGGCAGTTGGCGGAGGGGATTTGACATGGGCGCAGGCAGAAAAATAGAAATACGATAAAAAATAAAAAATAAAAAAAATAAAATTATGAGATATTGTACCTAATTGTAAGTAATTAGGATTTTTATAAAAAAATTACCATCTATAATTTTATAAAATTTAATACTATGAATAATTGTACAACATATACAATATAAAATGAAAAGTATATTATTAAATTCCGGATAGAATGTTTATATTGTTGATAACACAATGTAATATGATCAAAATTTGGATAAAATTTTAAATAAGGGGTTGAGGGCTTCGTCATTAGACTACACCCTCGTTCTCATAATTAATGTGATTTTCTTAATTATAGTAATATTTGCAATTAACATAATATTTATTTTTTACCTGAATTAAATTTATTGCTTAAATTAAAATTAATACGAAAAATATTTCAATTTTATAAAAAAAAAATGTCATAAATAATGTATATATAAAATTCAACATTATATAACATGTACGTCATACACAGTATAGAATGAAAACATATAAAAAAAATTACAGATAACATATGTATATAGTGTAGATAGCGCAATGTCATATGGTCAAAATTTAAATAAATTTTAAAACTATAATTAAATATTTTTCTATTCAAATTTACAATATCAATCTTTTTTATTGATATTCATTTGATCATAAAATTTAATTTATTATAGCATTTATTTTCATTTGATAAAGCATATATATATATATAAATTACAAATAACATGTGTAAAATACAAAAAGCATAAGTTATTATAAATTGTGGAGAATGCCTAACAAGAACATATGCAAGCATAATAAAAATCTAATAGCATGTATACATCTATATACATCTATCATGTAAGTTTACTTCAAAATATATTTTTTTAAAAAATCTATTTTTAACAAAACTTGGTTCACAATATTCACTATAAAAAATTATTTTGGCTAATCAAAATAATAATAATAATAATCAATAAAGATATTCACTATATCTCGCCCTTCTTCTAGGCCTACCTTTGCTTTTACATGAGCAAATTTATACTCTCTCCGTCCCGTGTAATTATTTTTTAAAAAATAAAAGTGACATGGTATGTGAGACGAATAGAAACGGCAACGTGGACATGATACGTGGGATGGAATGAGTAATTTTTTTTTTTTTTAAAAAAAAAAACATATACTGAACAACAGTGAAAATTTCAATTACACGCATGATTCACTCAATTGTAGGGGGAATCGGAGATGGGATGACGGCCGGCATTGGAATTGCAACAATGAGTGGTGGAGGAAGTCAATTTCACAACCGAATTTCACTTCACGGATTGGAACGAAAATTGAAACAAGTGTTAGAATTATTTTTGCCACGGCAATAGCAACTGCAGCGACGGTAGTGCCGACAACGATGGCAGCGGGCGATTGCCGCGAATGATCAAAGAAGAGATGACAGATCTCCGGGGAGAAGAGAGAAGAGGTGAAAATTTTGAGAAATAATAGTAATTGTAATAATTAGAAACATTTCTCAGCTAAAATTATTGTTTTATCCTTATTATTAATAATAATAATTATAAATACAATTCTATAATATATTATGAAAATAATTTATTTTTATATTGAATTTTAAAAAAATTAAAAAATATAATTATATTATTATTTTTAATTTATATATTATATTTGAATTAAAATTTAAAATTATAATTTAGATAACAAATTTAAATATAAGTATATAATTTTTTAAATTATAGTAAAATTATTAAATATAAGTTATCAAATTTTAAAATAAATTGAAAATTATGAATAATTTAATACTCCTATTATATTGTAATTTTATTTTTAATTTTTAATATTTTTTAAATTAAAATTTTAAAATATAAATAATTAAATTTTAAAAATATATTTTCTATACTTTTATTTAAAATATTTAAATATAATTAAAAAAATTTAAAATATATATAATTTTTATAGAAAAATATAATTATATTAACAGAATGTCCCTTTGAGTAATTTTAACCATTTAAAAGTATTTTCAAATTTATTACATCCAAACAGTTTTTCAGGAGAAGCATTTAAGTCAATTCAAACGGCCTAATTAGAGTTTAAAGATATTAATTTAAAACATATAATTATATTTTTCTATAAAAATATAATAAAAATTCGGATAAGATTTATATCCATAATTATTGAGATTTTGTTAATTATGGTGATATTTTTAATTAATGTAATAGTTAATTCTTAACTAAATTAAATTACTTAATTTAAAATTATCACAAAAAAATTTTTAACTTAAAATTACAATTTTAACCTCGTTTATTAATATCGGTTAGATCTATTATTAATTACGATCCTACTGCTATAGATAAATCGGCATGGTGCTTATGTTTTTAAATAGATCAAATTATCTAACCCAAAATCGATCCATTTATTTAAATAGGTAAAAAAAAAAAAAAAAAAAACCGACGAACCGAAAATGACATGTTTACCAATTTAATAATTTTCTAAACAAATTCGAAAACTCCACACAAACTCAACATATCCAACAAAACAAGAAACACACTAAAAATTCACTGAGGATGTGTTTGTTTGAAAGATTTCCCCAAAAAATCCACTATTCATCCAATTTGTTCTCTTCAAAAACATCAAATCAAACACCTATTTTTTATTTTTTTATATTATACTAGAAAATAATTTTGTATTCAAATCATCACATCACCACCTATTTATATCACAATCATATAACTATTTCAATCCAAATTTTTTACTATTCAAATCTCAATTCAAAATCCAAACCCCCCAAACAAACACACTTCTACCGTAAGAAAATAAATATTCCTCCATAAATTAGTAATTTTTTTATTAGATTAATATTATTTTATATATATAATAAATATATTATAAAGACTTCGATCCTAACATGATCTATTTATTATCGTGTTGACGCATATACATAAATGAATCAAAATTCTAGACCCAAATTTAATTATTTCGTATCAGATTCATATCAAATTGTTGTATCGTGATAGTTCTTGTCCGATCTACTAAAAATGTCATAGTTACACTAGTTGGACACGCCAAAGCTACCCCATTGAGCTACATCATATATATTGGTGGTTTGAACAGGAGTGAAGGCTTGTAAAAGACAAGGGAGACAAACATGAAGATAAAAAAACACCTAACACATGATATACGACTAACAACATACAATATAAGGATAGATATATATGTTACCAAACACTAATAATCATAATCAGCTCAGCTACTACTAAACTAAAATCATGTCTTGATTCCTTCTCTAACATGAATACGTACGTGTTCACACAATCAAGTCACTCGCTCGTCATAACTACCCCATGCAACGCACTCAGTTTTTACTTATTCGACACCATTCATTTACTTTTGTGTTTTCAACATCGTATTAAATTTTGGTCTATGCAGGTGGGGTGGTTTAATAGAAGAAGATGCATATAGACGGCATACCAATATGAGTGAGTACCGCTGCTTTAAATCAGTCTTCGTCTTCTACGTGAGAATATAGCATAGCTAACCTCAAACTCCATCTGCATAAAAACCCAATCCATCATTTGGCTATTTTCTTTAGATATATAGCTAACACAATCAATAAATAATCTCATCATAATAAACACAATCAGACTTGAATCTATCGAGTTTGTTTTATTGTTGTCTATATATATAGGTCCATTATTTTGATAATCTATAGAATGCAATTTTCTAATTTTCATAAAATATTTTCACATTGACATATATGGAAAAGACCAAAATTAAATCTAAAATGGAATATCTAAAATATCTCAACAATGATCATATTGATGGATTTTCTGTGCTCCTTGTCATTGTGAATACTAACTAGCTTAGAATTCAAGTCAGTGTAAAGATTTAAGTGTGAATCTAGGGAGCATTTTTAAGCAACTAAGTCACTTGCAATGTCAATGTTAACTAACTAGCTTAGAATTTAAGCCAATGTAAAGATTTAAGCGTGAATCTAAGGGACATTTTTAAACAACTAAGTCACTTGCTATTTCCTCCTCGATGGATTGATTCGGTACAAATCTAAGGCACTGGACTTAACCCTATGACTTAAATCAACCAACTGGAATTGCATATTAAACAGATTAAATAAGATTAGGAAAAGAATAATAAATCACAAGAGTAATGTTTTCATGGAAAGTAGTCTTGAAGTGGTTGCTGTATATATTACAAATTGTCTATAAGTTGTTACGCCGCTCAGCAGAAGGGAATTAGACAACAAATCAACATAGTAAAAAAAGAAAGTGCATTTATACTAAGCCTCACTCTAATGCATCTTTATAGTGATGAAAAATAATCGTAATTTGCTTGAAGGATTGGAAGGTCAGATTAGTTAGTACTCACTGCTGCATCACAAAAATATAATCTGAATTATCAACATGCATTCCTTGAAAGCAACATAATGTTGAATAGTTTCAGATGAGAAGAATCAAGATGTCAAATGAAACTAAGCCAAGCATTTCCAAAAACCAAAATCTCACAGAATGAACTGTTCTATGTCTGACAGACCAACAATATGATCTAGTGCAAATTTTCCATGAGAAAAATGCATGGGAGAAAATCATGACTAGAAAATTGTGGAGTCAAAAGCAACCTCCATGGAAATGCATTGTAAAGTGCCTAGTTTTTTATCTCTAGGCATTTCCCCGCTGTAATATTAATAGGAGAAATCGTTTGTTTACTTGTAAGATTTTAGACTGGGTTTTACTATTCCAACTCCCTCAAAAAACATCAAATCAAACACCTAAGGGCTGTGTTTTTTTTTTTAGTTTTACCACATATTTTTAGAATTCAATTTTTTTTTTCCCTAAAAAAATATCAAATCAAATAATTACTTTTCTTTTATTATATTTACTACAAATCCATTTTACATTCAAGCATCAACGTCTATTAATATCACATCAAACAACTATTCAATTTCAAAATTTTACTATTCAAAAATTCAAATCCAAAAATCCAAACCCACAAACAAACACGCGACTCTTTTTTATTTATTATATTACACTAAAATTTAATTTTATATCTGTAAAAATTTTAAGAGAAATTTCTAAAATTTATTGATAATGAAATTAAGTATACAAAACGATAAAGTTATTTATAACAACAAAATCTTGTAATATATCTAAATAATAACAACAATCTAATTTAGCAGATACGATTTTATAATAACTAACAAATCTAGACAATATCAACTAAAATATTTATCTAAAATATATTTCAAGCACTCACCCTTAAACTCAAGTTGATGTAGAAGCCAATTTGAATTTGGCAAAAAAAATTGGAGGTAATTGAATATTAACGGACTGAAGGTGTTGACCAAACGTTGACCTGCACTGGTAAATTACCTCCAGTTACATTAAGGGATGTACCAGGATAAAACGCTAATTAGTAGACTGTATCATTTAAAATTTAAAAGAAATTTCTAAAATTTATTGATAATGAAATTAAGATCTATTTTAAATAATAACAACCAATTTAAGTAACATATCTAAATAATAAGTAGATGATAACTAACAAATCTACATAATATCAATTAAAATATCTATCTAAATATATTTCAACATTCAAAACATTGCGTCATATTGATATCACATCCAACAACTATTTTAATTTAAAAATTTACTATTCAAAACAAAAATACAAAACCCAAATCTTACAAGTAAACACAATCGAATATGTGTAGTCCTTTGCTAATAATTGTTCTTCTGTCAACATATATTTTAAACAGATTATCTCATTTTCAACATTTGCAACAATCTTCCTGAGAAAAAACATATCTTCAAAATCGATCATACAGATAGACATAACACAAAAGTATGCCGCAGATGAGAAATCCAAAAGAAAATGAGAGTAATATTTACCATGTTGTCCCTGTTTACAACGACAGTCAAACTGCAGTGTGCCCAACACATGAAAAAGCTTGCTGGCCTAATCCAAGTATCTCATGTTTTCTTTTTTGAATCACCTCTCACTAAATGGTATAAGGGTTTATCAGGCTGCCAATTTCTTGAAAGTCAAGTTCCAGAAACAAAGATATAATAATAACTCCATTATAGGCTTACCAGCAGTTGAAGAGCATGATTCTTCACTGTCAAGAATTCAGATCAACAGAAAGTTTAAAAATTAGGTTAAGATAGAGATCCTTTCAAAGTGAAATTCTGCACCAAGACATGCACCTTAGCAGGCTCAAGCTCTCCCTTGTGTCCGTAGTTAAGAAGCAGCTGACAGAATCTTTAACATCTTTGCCTACTCCAAGAGTGGAACGCCTGCCATTATACAGGATAGGGACCCTCAGTTGGAAACAAAACATAAACAAAAGTTATGGGAGAAATTCATTTACCGCCTTGTATCTGAAACCATGACATCAGAAAGGTCTTCTATAATTTGATGCTTGCGACACCTGCCAGACAGAATATCAATTAGAAACAAATATAATCAAAGTTCTGGGAGAAGTTTATTTACCACCTTGTATCAGAGATTACGACATCGGGAAGGTTCTCAACAATTTGGTGCTTGGGATTAGTAACAGGTGACTCTGATCCAAAGTAAAAGGTATGAAATCATCAATTTCTCATAAAATAGAAAATAATCAGAGAATAATACAGAATCTAAAGAATTGAATAGAAGATTGCTTAAGTCATCACAACTCACATGAAACCAATGCGGTAAGGTAAGCAATTTGAGTGTCACAAAAGGAAGAACTCATCACAACTCACATGAAAATCAGCAGAGAATAATACAGAATCTAAAGAATTATATAGAAAGTTGCTTAAGTCATCACAAATCACATGAAACCAGTGAGGTAAAGTAAGCAATTTGAGTGTTGCAAAAAGGAATAACCCAGCTGAAATTACAAAGAAAATTAATGCAGCTCTTATTAAAAATATTTTGGCGATCTCTCACCCCAATGTTTAAGTACCATAGTGCAATTAATTAATATTCTTAGTTCAGTCAATAACACTTTTTCCCAAGACTTAAATTTAAACAAAAAAAAAGGTGGTTAACCAAACTTTACATGATAATAAAATCATAGACAATATAATTATATAAATATATCTCTACAGGATAGATAAAATCTTGTTAATGCTAGAAATCAATAAACTAAAATGTATTACCTCTCTCACCAAAATATCTGGTTGTTTCGGTGCTGGAAAAGTACAATCACAACAGTTCATGAATCAAAAACCTTTTTAGAGTGAAAAAGGATGAACTCAAGTATAAGAATTGAAATTTAGCATCAAACCGTTTCTTTTGTACATTCCAGCCATCCAGAATATCCTGCTTCCACAGTTCTTTACAATGATAATGATCATCATAACCAAAAGGTCCAAAACCTACTGGATCCATCCAGTTCTCATAAAAAGAGTCATACACCACACCCAAGTGATCAACACTTTTGTTTAAGTAGTTAGGACCTACCACATGAAAAATAATGAAATAAACAACTTTATTAAATTGAAGTCAAAGCACACTAGAGCTCCTGAATCCTCTTATACCAATCAAAATGCACCAAATAACCTTCAGCCAAAAAGCTATAATCAGTTTCCCGCAAAATCTAACAGCCGCCTTAACAAGTGCAACACTTTGAATTGATGGATGGGATAAAGAGTGTTCAGTAAATTCGTAGCCACATTCAATATCCTAGTCCGGGAATATATACCGTCCAACGTTCCAATATATTTAGTCCTATTCCAAACAAGACCTATTGAAAATGTATTATAATAAGAGGACAAAATCATAATTACCTACCATTCCGAAAATTTCTGCCCCGGCCTCGAATGCTGTAGATGAGTTCATTATTGTCAACATCACCATGCAAACTAGTTTCACACCAATTGAATGACGAGGGCTCTCTAAACTGTAAGAACTTCTGGTCTGGATCATCAAAGATGTCCACATCCCTGGAGCACAAAGGCTGTTGTAATAAACATTTATTTGATGATAATTCAGCCTGCATCATAGCAGAACAATAGGTTTGTCAACTGATGCTCGAGTCTGAAATGTGTTCTTTGGCTTCAAGGTATAGTGAGCAAAAAATTTCAGACAACCAGTAACATGTTTTGAAGGAAGAACAAGTACAGTTGTGACTATACAAAGACACAAACAAGACATGAATAGCTTGATTATGGAAGTAAACACTCCACAAGTGGAATTATTTAAGCTTGGATTTGCTGTATTTGTCACTAGATTTTTTTATTTTTTATTTTCTACTTCAAATTCATTGTTTTCAAATGTTTACTTGCTTCCTGTTACTTCAAGTTCTTTGATTGTTTTGTCCTCTTTTAAAGTGCATATTACATATATTTAACACAATGGGGTAACCAAGAACTTTGTTACTAAAGATAAGAAAAAATATTCAATATCTTACCACTACCAACCCAAAGTCATCAAAATCATATTCCAGGTGTTTGGATCTGGAAGTTTTCCCTGCCCTCATTTTGGGAGAAAAACCATGTAAAAAGGATCTGTAGTCATGAAAAAATAAATAAATAAAAAAAATTCTAACGAATAAAATGGTGTTCCACTTTTTCGGGAACATGTAAAGGACCAGAATGGGTCATCCAGTGGCCATCAAAGTTCTTTTTATATAATGGTACCTCAATCAGAGAAAATAAAAATAAAAATATAGTTGTCGATTATAGCCAATACCCTAATCAATTTCTTTCCATGCCAAAATGATCAGACAAAGACTGTTGACAACTATGCCATCATGCAGTGACAAGGATTCAAGGTGCAAAGAAACAAGATTGAAAGGTAAATTTCCAACTGTGGAGATATTGACCACTGGCAGGTATCAGATCCATAAAACCTTCTCGTGCAAAGCTATTCATTAGATTATGCATTAAAAACTATGTAAGTGAATAGTTTTAAAGTTGTTCAAGATGTTCTTCCTGCTCAAAAGGATGGTGATAATCCCTCTCCGAATTTTTTTTACAACATGACTTATTTAAAAAACTACAAAGCAATCAATTATGATATCAAGTGGAAATGATACTAGAAGCTAGTATATTAAGCAAGAAATTATGCATACAGGAGCAAAGTGGAAGTAAATTTGTGGTCTGCATGGGGACACAGTGTGTGTATTGGCATTTCAGGAAAACTAACAGACATAATATGAAAAGAAGATTGCTGTGTATTCCTTACTTAAAAACCACACAACCTATTGTTAAAATTCCAGTTACCATTCAATCGAGTCATCCTATAGTAAAAGGTTAACATTTGTTAAAAGATAACGTGAGGAAACCAAAACAAGTTATGACTTCAAAACCATGGACGGGAATAGTCATATTTCAATTTAAAATCTGTCATGATAATCCTCCACTTCGCCCTATTAAATAAATATATTCTATACACAAATCCTAAGATTTGATTGAAAAGACCTTGGGTTTGTTTGTTTTGTATTTTTGGATGGCACGATTCCTAATAAATATTATCAAAAAAATATAATATATACACATGTTACACAATATATAATATACAATTTATTCACTAAAAGAAATCAACAATTCAACACAAAATATATTATCAATACAATTCTCCATACCTAACATAAAAAAACACATTCATCCAAAAACACAAAGTGTTACACCTTAATTTCATTATGCTATTATTCTTTGTGTAGCTAACTGTTAAATCCTTTCCATGATCAAAATAATGTGTACATAAACAAGGCTAAAGTACGCAAAAACATGCAAAATTCATGCACTTTGCATTCTACAGAACTTACCTGCAATTTATCTTTGGTGAGTGATCTGGAGTTTTTGCTTCCAATTCCCCTAAACCTAATATATACAACCAGTCTCTCAGTTGATGACTCTAAACACTCCATATTTAAACGTTAAAGTACAAACCTAATACAGTCAAAAGAAAGAAAGTAATGGAATTTGCTAGTGAAAACTTAAATGTTAATTTATTGTAGGATTCATAGCAAATATTAGTACAACTTGGTCCAACTAATATGCCCAAAAAGATAGTAATTATCACTCACAATAGTTAGTTCCAATGGGAATGATAATATTAATTTTGCATTAGCCCTTAAATCAACCTTCAATTGAAAATGCAACATGGGATTCCTGAGCATGTGTTGGATTTTCTTCTGCATTACTGCTCACACCACCATCACCAACCAAATCAATGACAGATACCGCTGCAATAAGAAGGAGAAACCTCATTTTACATGTTTTATCTAGATTATGATGCCAGTCCAAAGATAAATCCCTGGCAAAGCCATGGCCTACTCTGCCAAAATTGTAGAGTGATACAGCAATTTACATTCTTATTCAATAGTTTGATTAGTAAACGCAATACCATTAAATAAATGCAGAGGCCTTAAATGGGAACAAACAACAACAAATCATACAAGGCAGAAACACACATGCACAGCATGTACATTACACGCCCTGCCATTCTAAAATACTAAGGAACACAACCAAGAACATGAATGTGCTGAGGGCAGGCGTGGAGAAGGCCAGGAACTTCGACGCTACAAGAATGAGCAACAAAGAAATGAAAGCATTGCAGCGAAAGACAGAAAGAGTGGCAGAAAAGCATCACATATGCTCATGAATGGTGGCTCACAAAAGTTTTTCAACCGAAAATTGGTGGATTCCTCTAAAAATCTGAACACACTGAAGATCTGGCACTCAGCTGCAGCCTCAGAACAACAATGATGATGGTATCGTAAACAAGCACAGGAAAGGTAGATCCGCAACTTATGGATTAAATGGTGGGAGGATTGTGGGTTGGTTTCCTCCACTTTTCTTCTGTCTTTCTTTTTCTTTTCTTTTTTTTTTTTTTTTTTTTTTCCATTAGCATAAAATTAAAGTAAACAAAAGATGTTGGAATACAGATCAAGCACACTATTGGTTGAACCATGTTGCAAGAATAATATAGAAAAAAGAAGAAAGAAAGAAAAACTATACTCCAATTAATAGATTCATTGATAATCACAAAGCAGTGATAATTCCTTGGCATAACGAGTAACGTAGAAATTGATGATACATCAACCACAAGACCAATCTTAACATAATTGAACAAAATACAAACAACTTGTTTATCAGCTCCATGTAGCAATAAGAACTTGAACAAAATATGAAAAAAAAAAAAAAAAAAAAAAAAAAAACACGATTTAGATAACATATATTGAAACTCACGATGTGTATTGGGCAACTTGAAAGAATCAAAATGTTTGTTGTCTTTTCCAGCTAAAGCTTCACATTGATCAGGTATATGGGCTGGTACCCTGCAAAACTGTCATCATTACCTAGCAAATCTGAAAACTTTCTTCTAAAAGAAAAGCATTGCGGCTTCTTATAAAGAATGCAATGCAGCAAGAAAAAACCTCAACTTCCACAAATTTAAGTAACTTATTAGTATATGATATAGTCAGCATACTCAAAAAGCTGTCACTTTGCAGCTTTTAAAAAATTTTTGAAAAGAAATCAAGTTCATGATTCAAAGGGCATATACTCCCATAAACTGGCGTACATCTTTGAATATTCAACCTCGAACTCGTGGTTCAATGAAGTTTCTGGAACAAAAAAGTTAGCACTCATCAACAGACAATATATATATCATCTCCAGACGCAACTCAGAGGCATACTGGAGCACTTAAAAATTAAGATCCAAAGCGTACTTTCTTCATTTGTTTCAGACTGATCCACATGAATGCCTTCACTGATGATATTGGAAGGAAGATGATGTGCGTCTTGATTATTCGAAGAAAAATCATCTTCATCTGAGTCATCCCTTGCTTTTGAATTTGAAGAATGAGATCAAGTTCAGGGAAGGTTATCATGCAATCAAACTTGGAATGTAATGCCTGACATTTTCTTTGTACTACAACTTTGATCCACAGATATTGAGTACACACATAGAAAACATGTCAAAAGGCAGACAACCTAGAAACCAAGAGACCCTTAAATGACAAATGCATTGTTCCATGAACAGCAGAAGCATTTATCCCACATGATCCTCTTGCACTTCAGATACTGATAATCTAAAAGATATTTCCGATTTTCTAAAAGTAAAGCCAAATTACCATCAAGATTCCTGGTCTTGTGCTCCTCCGCAGCAGTTGCTACATTGGCCAGGCTCAGAAGATCGAGCGATCTATTTTCATAATGTGAAGTGTGTGAGTGCTTTCCATCAGCATAACCCTCTAAACCAGCTGTGTGCTGATGCTGCCGCTTCCTTTGCTCAAAATATTGTTTTTGCCTAGATTGATTATAATCATTGGTCAGTTTTAGTTAAGTTAACCCATATTACCATCTGTCATCAAGTAAAGTACATATATTATATAAAATATCCTGGAAAACAATACTTAACTAAAATACATTTACCTTTTATGGGTTGATTTTCTTGACTGCAATATGTTCAGCATGATTACAAACATGAAATCCAAAATCTTATCAATTAAAAAACTGAAAACTGACAAGAAAACTGAAACAATTTATGTATAAAAGAGAACTTCATCAGCAAAACCCTAATGGAAAAAAAATAACTCAAGCATCCACCTAGCTTGATCTTTCCATGCAGAGGAACTTCTAAATGGAAAAGAACTTGAAAAGTTATCATAGGCAAGATTGGGAACACAATTTCTTGATTAGGCGCTACAGTGTTATTGACCCATAAGATTGTTAACAATGCAGCAAACACATCATACAAAAAGTTTATACTGAAAGGACCACAAGCAAAGGATCCAATAAGCTAACAGACCAATGTGGCAATTTTCATGTGTAAACTAGAGTAAGAATGCAGGCAGTATATACAAGTATGACAACTGTGATCAGTTAAAGTCAATCAAAGCATACCGATGGCTCCCAAGACTAGAACATAGAATCCAACAAACAGCAGCTACATCTTAGACTCACAGCCAATCAGCTAACCTAGCTAGGTGTGGTGTCATATGACAATATTCAAATTAAATCATTTAGCAATATTAAATCTTTATAGCTTGATTGTTAGATAGCTGTAGCATTACTACCATTTCTCGCAGCTTTCCATTAATTTAATCAACAACTTGGGAAGATCATACCAAATAGAAAACTATAAACACAAATGATCAACCATTTACATTAGCACCAAAATGGAGAATTACTTTCCATTTTAGCGATGAGTGCTTCCTTCACATGAACTAGCCAATGCTCTCGGTTCACAATATTGACGAAAGCAAGGAAATAAGTTAGATATGCGTAAAATCTAACCGTCGTGACTTTCCGCCTCGATCCACCCATCCATTGCAACATGACGTAAGATAGAACACCGAAAAGACCTCAAGTAAACCTCTGAAAATGGAAGAAAAAAATTAGTAAAAACTTCAGAGGAAGGAGCAGAAAATATGAATCTCCCAAATGGACGAAGTAATCACGAAGCATACCGGCGGCAAATGGCTGAAGAATCTGCTTGATCTCAATTTTCAGTCACAAATTCGTCGTCGATTGCACGCACGGCTTTAAACGAGTTTGAAGGCGGCAGGGGGAGAAAAATATTCGAACAAATGGTTTGTTTTGTCACGCTTTCGAATAAACTTTTTCCAATGGTGACGACAAATTTTAATAAAAATAATATTTTATAGTATAAAATATTGGTTTCATTCGCTTAATATTTTAAAGTGAACAATTTTTATAAATATTATTAAAAATATATATTTATTAGAAAAAAAAATAATTATTAAATATAAAAAAAAAACAATTTTTTATTAAAAGAAAAATACCTCTAAAAATATAAAATAATACACAATATAATATGTATGATACAAAAAAAAATATACGTGTACACACAAACAAAAGAAAATTTTAAAGTTATAAAATATAAAAAGCATATCGTAATAGATGATAAAATATATATTCTACACTTTTTTTTTTGACAACCAACGTTAAACTAGAAAAAGAACAATTTTTAAAAAAGTATAGCATAACACGGTCATATTTGAACACAATTAGAACCAAACTTATTTTGGATTAATACACGGCCATGTTTAACAAATATACAGTTATGTTTGATTGCGGAAATACTGAAGTCAATTTCGGATGTACATGGCCGTGTACATATACCATCTCGGTACATCCCCGTAGGAAGATATAAGGTTGTCTATAATTTAACATGACTATGTTATTTGATTCGACTTTTGCCGACTGTGGTAACATGGTCGTATTTCGTTCAAGTCATCTACTATGTCGATTTCGTTATGTTTACATCAGCCATTTTCGTTGATTTTTTAACGGTAAGACTAAAATTGATTGAAATTGTTTGTAATTGAAACTAAAATTGATGTTTTTTTATATTGAAAGCAAAATAAAAATATTTTCATTATATTGATACTACTATTAATTTTTCCCTTAAAATAATACTCAGTTCGTCTAAGTTAAAGTGTCTTAAGTTATTATAAATAGGAAAATTTAGATAAAATATAATTAATAACTAATTAATAAATGTATTAGTAAAAATAATTATAAATTAAAATTAAAATAACTAGAAAGTTTAATTAAATATAAAATTATAAATTATAAAATTTTAAATATGATTAAAATATATAATTATATTTAAAAAAATTAATGACAATTATGTGGACAGTAAAAAAAAAATGAATACTTTGTATTAGACGGATAAATAATAAACATCAAGCCCTGTGATGCACTATTATTGAATATATATATATATATATATTATAGATAAAAAGTATTTTGAGTTGAGATATATTTGCATCGTGAGGTATAAAATAATATTAACTGTGTTTTAGTCTTCGGAGTCTTCAAAGTGAAATTTTTTTTTTTGTACATTTAGACCTCTGGTGCCGGAGATGCCTACGTGGCTTGCCCGATGATACGTGTCCGCCAAGCGGATAATTTTTATTATTTTAAATTTAATCAATAATAACATGTAGAGTGCAGTGCACACTCGTTTCCATTTACAAACAAAATAGGGTAAATCACACATTGATAATCTTAACAAATTCAACATACTCATGTGAATAGAAAGTATATCCATACCATACAAATCTTGATGAAACCCAATTGAAATTCTATGATTTGCTTACAAATTTTAAAAAATTGCCCCTAACCATGGGGAAGTTGGTCACAATAACTCTAAGAAGTATTAAGATATTTAATGCCAAAAAGAATATCTAATACATAAAAGATATTTTATCTATGAAATAACTTCAATTGTACATAAAGTATGTGTGCCAAATTGCTATAATTACACAAAATCAAAACTTCAATGTCAGTGCTAAGGGCATATTTCTTACAAAATGAGTATGGATAAATATCACCTTCAAAAATAACAGTCAACAGACGATGTAAACACATTGAAATGGTACATGAAGAATAAAATCAAAACCCTTGGATATGTATGATGCATTCTGTTTTTGTCTAATCATTCAAGATGCCAAAACTATGCGCCATGTACAATGTGATCCGAACCTGATAAGCATTTCCTGCTGTTTGCGTGAGATAGTGCGCCGACACAACAAACAAGCTCATTCAGCATAAAAAAAGGATTTCCATGGAATCAACACTGACCTGAATTACAGAAGAAATGGCAGAACTCTAATATAAGTGTACTATTTTTAAGGTAAAAAGAACTCAGCCTAGTAAATACGCAATTTGGTAATAAAGACCTTTAGGAGAACATGGCAATTTGATCGTAAAGACCACTAATCCAACATGCCAATACCAAGCCATTATTTGCTCAAAAGTACAATCTCACCCAGTCATTTCAGAACAAACACGGAAATTATCTAGACCTCAAGTGTTTAAGCAAGTTTCAGATTCATAGCCATCGTACAACACTTAATGAATAACAAGCAGACTTACAGTTTTAACATGGGAGACAGGGAAAGGCCTCCTGTAGTCGGGGTTGTGAGTTCCATGAAGAATGCTGAATAAGATCAAGGGATGAATACTTGGGAGAAATCCCAATATCCTGTGGGTCAAGAGGTTACTCGCTGAGGGGGGAAAGTACAACAAGAATACAAATTCAGAAGCTCCTTGCTCTTCAAACAGAGAACAAATTGGCCTTTGTTCCTTTAGAATGAGATTGTGATAGAAGGCATCGAAGCAAGGTAGGAATGAAATCGTTAGATAAGATCATCAAAATCCTGTCCTAATATAGTGAATCAAAAGGGAGATTGGCACAAGGGGCAGGTTGACTTATGTGACGTTGAAAACCACTTGTAAAGACAGGCTGAATGAAATTTATGTTTGCAGGTCTTGCAAGCAAGACGAGGCAGGCTATGGTTGACTGAATGGATGACACTATAACAAATAGGGCAATCTTCAACTCCTTCGAATTCTCTGTCGAAACTGCTTTTCCATGACCTTATTGCTTCAGCCAAAGCTCCATTCTGTAGATTCAAACTCAAACTATCAGCATTGAAGTTCAAATTACATTTGTATAACTGAATCAAGTAATAAATAGTAAATGACAGAACACACCTATTGATTGATGAAAGAGTTTTCATTGAGTTAGGTTATAACAAGTGTATGTCAAACAATTGAAAGAAAACTCAATGCAAGGAATAAAAGCATGCAATGATTTGTGGGAATCAGCATAAACGACCTGAATACGAACAAATGCCATCAATGACATTAACCATTTCCTTTGCTTCACCTCACTGATGCCAAGGCTCTTGGTGGATTCTACGTCCACAAGCCTCAGAGGGTAAGAAGGGGGAAGGCGTATTACCAAATCCATTCCTGTCTCGTCTTTTGTATAGGTGGCCACTACCTCATTAGCTGATTTGCTCACAGAGATGGAAAAGTTATCATCAGCAAAACTAGCTTTCTTGATCTGCATTGATAAACAGACTCCAGTTACAAGGGGTTACAGGTGTTAGAAATAAAAATAAAAACACCAAGATTCTATCAAACTAATCCAAAACACTTCTATAGAATATAACTACTAGTCATCTTTAATCTAGAAATGGATAAAAGGATTTCAAACACTTCCCTCAAGTTAAATATAGGAGTTCAGCTTCAGCAAGGGGTGCAAAGCATAAGTTTGTTTCCATGAGACTGCAAGCTCAAGGTAAAAATACCTAACTAGCAGACAATATTTTTATTGTTCAACAGCTTTCCCCAAACACAAATTTTTTTTCTACTGTAACAAAAAGGTACCAGATCATATTCAAGGCTTGCAGCACATGGAAACCTTAGAACTGAACATGCAGTAGCCCAAGATAAACAAACTAATACCCTCGGTTACAGGGACAATTCATTACCAGTTCTTTAACAAAGGGCAGTAAACCAAATTCAGCATATAGTTAAGCTTATTAAGAGGAACAGGCACTAGTTAAGAACTGGCGAGGAAAGCTAAGTATTTAATTCAGTCGGTATCATATCAAGATAGTAAATTCACGAATTACACCTGAATAATCAAATTGAAATTCCCAATTCATGGTGATAACAAAGACCTATCAATAGATAGAACAATTAAGTCCTCATCTTTATTGAAAGATAAATACTCCCATCTATAATTGTTATAGTAGTTCATTAGACATTTGCACTCAGCATCTACTCAAATAAATTAAAACACAAACTCAATCTATGTGGACAATCAAGCTTTTGAAAATAATAATAATAAAGTAAAAGCAATAATTGTGAATCACATCTTTCGCACCTGTGATAATTCATTTGATATCAATACTGGGCTGCACCATGCTTTTGTGAAAGATTCAATGGCAGACAATGCAGAACGGTCCCGAACATCACTAAACCACCCTCGAACATAGGCAGGAAGGCTGTAAAGCATTAGTCCTAGTACTGCACCGGAAAGTGAAGCCAGTTTCTCAGGTCCGACAGGCCAAAGCACCTCAACTGAAAACAACAATGACCTGGTTGTGATAGCTCGAGTTGCAGCATTTCCTGCTGCTGCCACTTCAGAAGGAAGTTCCATATCTTTCTTTCTTGAGCTGGTGCCCATGTAATGCTCCAAGGGAATATGTTGGAATAGACAATCCAGTATTATGGAATCAGCAGAATCTTGCACATACTGAGTGATTCTCTCCCTTTCTTTGGATGACGAAGGCAATGATACTGTATGAGATAACAGCAAAGACCAAGCAACTAGCAGGTTCACCTGTGAATTCAATATAGCAAAAAAGAAGGATGGTCAGCAGATAAGGTACTATTCTGTAAAATCTATCCAACATAGATGTCCATGTACAATCTAATCCAAGCAAAAAGTGCTATTGCCAATATAAAATATAACCCACCCTTTCATGTGCCACCAAATCCATTTCAAGAACATTAAGAGGTACTTTTTCAAGTTTGTGAGAAATTTCTTCCCTCAGTTTAAACTTTTCTGCTGACGATGTATCAAAAGAATCTGAATTATTGGAAGAACTATGATCCAACATTCCATCATTGTCACATGAAAAAGCACTTTGCGCAACAGGGTCTGTGGATAGTAGAGCAAAAGCTGCCAGCTGCAGTAGTGAAAGTGGTTTGCAAGAAAAGAGTAATGTAAAAAGAGAACTGACAGCTCCTTTACTTAGCCCCCAAATCTCAATTGACTTCATAGCTTTGTCTCTTGCATGTAAACTTGACAGAACAACGCATGAACCAACCAACTCCCAGAACTCATGATGATTTAACCTTGACGATGCAATAATCGATGAAGCTTCATGACAACATGAACTTGCTATTGCTTCTGCAACAGCAGTACAAAAAAACAAACGCAGGATACCTTCGAAAATACGATCTGAGATGATTACCCACTTCTCATTTCCAAGAGAATTTAAATTTTCAGCATGTTCCTTAGCCTGGAATCCAAGGGAACAAAACAAGGAGAATCCAATGAGACCATTTCTGGCAAGTTCCATGTTAAAAGGATCACTCAACTCAATAATATCCCTAAGTTTACTTAATGATACATTAACATCATCCGGCTCATTCTTCAAAGTATCATTGACATTTTCGACAAACTCTTCCATCATAACAACTGCTGCTTCAATCCAAAACCTTAGTTGATGCAAGACAAACTTCCAATCATCATCATCAAATTCTTCCCAGCAATAAGCAATTGAAATAACTGACAATTCTGATAACAGTTTCTGCACCACTGGAAGCTTATTCACTATTGCTGATGAAGCTTGCCTCTGTTTCCGAAGTAGCTCATACAGAGTGGTTCTCTCTGTAGGAGAGATAAACCTCTCTGGTTTTATATCTTGCATTGATTTTGAAACTTCTAAAGGGAAACAGGATACAACCAAGTTAAGCCAGTCCTCCATATCTGCAACAAGTAAGATATTTAAAATAAATAAAAAAACAGTAATGCAAAAGCAACTGAAGAATATGTTCATAACACAGTGATTGCTCCTTTCTGTATTTCAATAATAAAGATATTTGAACTATTAATATTGAGAACCAAGAATATATTATATATTTACTCTGCATGCACACTTTATTCACAGCATACAGATCTAGTAGTAAATACCTTCTCCAGTTTGCCATGTATTCAGTGGAGGAAAAGATAGTGCTTTCTTAAGCCAGTCCAGTGTAGCATGATGCAATTCACTTTGGCTATAAGTATCACATTGATCATTTGTGCAGTCACCAAATCCAGTGCTCAAGGGTCTGACAAGGACATTCATGATGCACGGAAGAACACTCAAACAATTTGAGTTTGCAGTATCACCGATATATAGTTTGTCTAGAAGCAATATAAAGAGCGAGTTAGCTTCCTCACTTCCCCATACATTTTCTTGAAAAATAGCAGACAGTAAACAAGTGAGAGCTCTCAGAAAGGGTGATTCGATAGCATCTAACTCATCAAGTGTAGCATGCCACAGGAAATTTAATCCAGCATTAGCTCCACGGACAAGAGCACCATCAAGCAAAATGTTCAATATGGAATTTAAAAAGGCAGCATCTCCTTTCTTTACATAGCTAAGGAAAGAAGGTAAAAAAGAGTGCAATACGTCGCCACCAAGCCATTTCCATGTGCACATTATTTCAGCAGCAAGCCAAGGACGAGAATAATGAATTTGGCTGATTGTCAAGTTCATTAAAGGATTATCTCCAGAAGCTGATTCAGGCTTAATAACACCAGCCACTACACGATCAAATCCAATTTTAGATATAAGTTTGTTGATTAAAGCAACAAACTTGGTGTTATTTGGTCCCTGAATATCATACTAGACATTGTTAGCTTCCATAACATATTATTTGCTCTCTTGGAAAATTAAAAAGCATTACCACATGCACATGATGAAGGTATGATGCATTTTCAATAATACAACATATATTCCATATAGATTTCCAAATGATTGACTAGCTACACAATTTCCTGTAATTCATTTATTTTAACATCAACTTGGATATAAATGATCAAGAAAAAGGGAGTATAGGTTTCACATGTAAGAACTAATAAAACAAATAGTAAAGTACTCTGTGTAAACTAATTAAACCCACATAGATTATGTGTTAACAAATATTCTATGTTTCTACAAGAAATAGCTATATCGTACTGTACTCATCAATATTCACCAGCAGTACTTGAACCAGAGACCTCTTAAACCTCAAAGACATGCATAAACTATAAACAATACAAACATATATTAAATTTGTGCAAACCTCCTGTTCATACAAGTGTCCATTTAAACTGTCATACAACAAACAAATGACACATGCTCCATTGACAAACCTCAAACATTTTTTCTGGCATATATACTTCGAAATTCCCACTTCTTAAAATTCTTATGCTTAATATTTGAAATATTTTCCTATAAAGTATAACTTAATAATATTTAACAATCTTTTCAAAAGTACACAATTGTACAATGACTTCACCCGAGGCCCAACCTTTCAATAATTCTTTTGCAACCAAACTCTTTGTTCTTTCAAATATCACATAACAGGCAATCCTGTGAAGGAGACGAACATAAAGTTATTGATTACGTAGTCTTTTAAATCATAATTACAACAGGTTTGCAAAAGATAACGACATGACGGTATCCTAGAGTCATTTTGCATGTCATCATGCTCTTACCAAATAAGTCGGCCATTCATGCTTCTGGTAGCTTCCAATGCAATCAACAAATAAGAAAATGAACACTAAATATCCCAGAATTGAGCAAATTAACTTTTAACAATTATATCACTTTCAGCAAAGCTCATACTATCTATTATAATCCAGTATAAGCCATGAAGTTTAACACCAAATAATGATGATCGTAATTCCTATGAAGTAAATATAAGTATACAGAACTAAAACAGAGAGCACATGAAAGGAAAACAAGAACAGAAAGATGAATTTCAAAACAGCTGTTCCAATAAAAAACATAAAACTTCAGTTTGGCGCTTTCCTTTTCATTTTAATAACTTTAAATAATTATATAAGATTAGAAGAGAACAGAAATTCCTCAAGAAACACTCACGTGGAGAGAGATATTTTCCAATCTGGCACCCATCATTTCAGGTGGGATGCACAAAGGCCACGACTCAGTCCTGCTAAGGAATTGATCCATTAATTGCTGTTCCTCCTCTTGATCTTGACAGAAAAGTTCAAGCACATCTATTGTCCATTGGCAACAAGCTGATATCAAGTTTTCCAAATCAAATCTATCATCCTCGCATGCAATGCATTTTACAGACTGAACTAAAGTAATCCTTAAACTCCTTCGGATGTTTGTGCCAAAACATTTCAAGAACTGCTCAGAGAGTTTGCAGTGGAAAGCATGAACAGCTTTAAAAAAGGTAACCCTAGCCTCAAGTTGCCTCATCTGCTCATTATTAAGCCCATCCTTCAAAAAATTCATACAATTGAATTCCCAATCAATTATAATTACTGCTGATAATATGCCTTGAATCAATTCATTTTCAGCTTCAATAGTATGCAGGCAAAAGGTGCTGCCATTGAGAATGTCTATAGCAAAATGAGCACCATCCTGTATATTATTAGAGGATTCGAACCTCTTACTAGAATAACTTTCGCCCCTAGCAAATAAAGCAACTTTATCTTGAACCCAAGCAAATGTGGAACATGCAAAGATGGACATGAGCCTCCTAAGAAGTTCCTCAAATATCAGAACAATTGTTTTCTCTGATAGGAAGGAAATTTTATCATCTTCAGATCTTCCACCAAGGAGAGCACTGTCAGACAAGATAAGAGCGTAGATTAAAGATAATCATATTAGACAATCTTTATGTCTACTACATAAATATTATTTAATCATCCACAGTAAACATGTAGAAGCACAGGAAGCACAAAGTATCCTCATGATTGAATAATACAAGGCTAAGTAAACATTGTCTGCAAATTGATCCAGAATATTCACTTTACAAATAACGGTCTATCAAACCAATTTTATTATCCAAGATACAAACCAAAAAATAAGGAGAGATAAAATGAAATGATTCATTAAGTCGGCCCATCATTTTAGGGGCCAATTCCTAAAATTATCATTAACCCCAAACATAAAACAAAATCATAGATGGCAATACATGGTTTATAAGTGACAACAACAATATCATTGCATAACATAAGGAGAGATAAAATGAAATGATTCGTCAAGTCAGTCCATTATTTGGGCGCCAATGGCTAATTTCCAAAACCCACCCACCCAGCCCCCAAGACAAAAGGGGGGGGGGGGGGTGTAATATCCCATAATTCAATATGGGGTGTTTAAATGATAACAGTAATGTCATTGCACGTAGAAAAAGTTGAAATAATAATAATAAAGATAATAAAAAGAAAAAGACCAGAGAAGTACAGTATCATCAATGAAGATCCTTGATGAAGAACAAAGAAAAGGTATTTAAAACCTCCTGATCATGATTGGGAAGACCCATAGCCTAAAGCCTTACAAATTTGTGGATATACAAAGCTAAAGTATCTATAGAAAAATGCCTAATCAATGTAGCATTCTTTTTGCCCGGAACTTATATTATACAAAGCAATGATATCACAATAAGAAATTAATACATTGTGAAAAAGGTTTTGCGGGAAAGTTCATTCTTATAATATTTCTGTACCGACTACCGAGTCAGACAAACATTTTTAGAAGAAAAGCCATAATACAGCATTTCAATACATAAACTAGCACTTATCAGAAAAAAACTCATGCTTGTTCCCTCTCTTACTATCTCCATCATCCAATTTTGTGTTCATTTTACAAAGGAAATGATCACAGAATTGGATGACATATGGAGTAAGTTATTTACTAAAACATCCAGCAAAATATTTTTCATGATTTGGGGTAAAAACATGATATGGGCTTAACTGAAGACAGTACAAGAATGGTTGAATTCCTAGCATAAATGGTAAACATAGCCCTAGCACGAACTTGGAACATATATGTTTGCTAAAAACATGCAGCATTCCAGCTACAAGTAAAAATGTTTTCTCCACAATCAATAGCAGAGAGCATCAGAAAGTCTGCTAAAAAAAAGAAAAAAAAAATTATAATAATAATTGTGGCCCATTCTTGACAAAGGCTGCTTTAATAGGCCATAATGGTATAATTGTTAATATAAACATGAACCACTTCCCACCTTTACCATAAATTCCAGCAATGCTTCCTTCTACCCCCTTTACAAAATGGCGTTACAGTAATATTTTTCTAATGCACAATGCCATTTTTACATTTGTTATCAGAACAGAAGCATTAAGCACTTCCACATAAACCTCCAATCATAAACCGGCAGAAAAATAGATACATTTAACCCATGAATGCAACGTAACAAAGAACGTAAACATGTTACATGAAGCTTGCATAAAAAAATTCCATGCATACCATAATAATTGGGTATCAGGTTCTCCAAATCGAGGAAAGACTTGCACAACATGTGCAGAAACCAAGTCTAAAAGCTCATGATGCCAGTCGTATTTACATGAACCAAACTGATGAATGCTCTTCCAAGTCATTTCCCTGACCTTCTCCATCAAAGTAGCCAAGATGAAAATTTTGTTTCTATCCATGTTCTTGGGATCAAAGCTAACCTTTTCTCGATTCACTAGGTATCTAATAATTGCATCCCACTGTTCTGGGAAGCACTGATCATCGAGTAAAGCCAGCAAGAGATCCAGTCTAGCAGTCATTGAGGCAATACAATGTCTCAAGCACAAGGGGATGATCACTTCATTGAAGGATTTCAAGAATTGTTCCGTCCCTGAATCAATACTCATAAGTTCTTGCATTATTTTGCGAGCTCCAAATGTTGCAACAGAAACAACAATAACCCTTACTGCATCTGGTGAGTCCTGGTTTGAGAAGTCAATAGAGAAGATAGCATTAGTTGTATAAAGAAAAAAAGAAGACTAACACAACTGAATATGAGAACAATAGAAGAGAAACTTTTGTGTGTCCATGTGCTCAACTGACAATTAATGAACCTTCTAATCTTTGAGACTATTTCCAGTCTAATCTCACCAATGAAATAAGATAAAAAAGAAATGCAAAACTGCTCATGCTGTTCTATATATATGATTTCCCATGACTCCCTTTTTAGACAAGAAATAATAGAAAATTCAATCAATAAAAGGACAGAGATATTAAACCCAATTTGCAGGCTAATATTAGATGGAGTTCTATGACTTAATAGGCTACTAGAATTACAAAAAAGAAAAAAGAAACAGTAAGAGAGAAAGAGTGCTTGGATGTCTTACTAGTGTTTCAATTAATGGGAAGGACTTCTTTAATGTGGGCCCCATCAAGTTAAGTAAAGGCCATGTCTCTCCTTTCAGCAGAGCATGCTTGTCCAGCAAAGAAAGAAATCTGACCACCCACTGCACATTTTGAGAATGTTCTGTTTGCTGAAACAAATCCAAATAATCTGTTTTAAATTTCATAGAGAAAACCAAAAACAGGTCATAGTTTAGTTGATGAATCCCAGAAAGTATTCTTATGATGCATTTCCCAAGATTTCTGTAATCCACTGAATGCTTAGTGATTGCTGTTTCACTTGGTTCCTCAAGAGTAGGTTCGATGATCTTCTTTGATTGACCAAAAGCATGAAATGAAAAGGTATCTTCGTATTTTGAGCTGGCAGACAATATAAACTCAGGCCACAGAAGCCTTATTAGTATTTTATCAACAAGGCTACGCTGGGAGTCGTAGATGGTATCTTCATCACAATATCTGATGGCAAGGGAGCAGAAATACATGTTAAATCTTTGAGTGTGACTAGAAAAAGAAATTACGCAACTGCATATACATATGTAAAGATTGCCCTAAAAGACCAATATAAGTAATACAATAATTGAGCACAAACCTGGACACATTAGCCAAGCACCAGATGAAACACTCTTCTATTGCACAGAAAAATGCTAACTGGTCAGCATGTGAAGAGTAAGAAAACTTTCTCCCTTCCCAAAGGCTTTCAAAAAACTCCAAAAATATCTCCCCAGAGATAACTTTCGAGGGCATTGTTTCTAAAAATAAAACTAAAGCTGGATATGACAACTGCTGAGATCCAAAACATCCATTCCTAAGAAAATTCCATAACCGACCTAGAACGGTTTTATGCAAATTCACCATAGTCCAACTGTCTGGAAATCTTTTTGAAAAAAGTAACAAAGTTTCCCACATGGATGAATGGCATCCTGGATTCTTTTCCTGGAATGATCCCAGTATTGCAACAGCAAGCTCTTTCATATCTCCCTTACTGATAACATGTGGAATGTTTTTAACAAAGCTTCCCACTACCGAATACGCAGCAGAGCGAATAGCTACGCTTTGAGACTTCAGAAAATTAATAAAATATTTGTGGGTGGAAAGTAATTTCTCTGCAGTAGAAACAGCAGCAGTCCGGGCTTTCACAGCATGCTTGGAATCATCAGATACATTTTCAGAACCAGACCTTTCAGAACGCAGGGAAAAGAAGGCATCAAGAATTGCTGCTAGTGCACGTAAAGATGAAGAAATCACCTGGCAGCCAATAATGTTTAGAATCACCACTATGATACAATGGAATATTACAGTAATAAGAAGTTAAAGGTTGGCAAACCAACTATTTGAAAAAAATAAATAAATAGAAGTAACAAAGGTAAGTTGATATCATCATCACTGTGGATAGAGCGACGCAAAATACGTGGGAGTAACATGCTTTAAGTTTGTAGAATTTTATAGGGCAATAATAATGAAAGTAATAGCATTAATCTTTGTGAGGATTGTTCTAGATACAGTAAAAGCACCATAAATTATCTAAAAACTACATTGTCATCTTGATATATGCAACTCATGATGTCAGTGTCTTTCTTGGTAAAAAATAATCTCAACCAAAAGACAGGAACAAAATTCAGCTTTATGGGATGTATTATTTTTATATGGGGCCATCATTTACAACCCACCCAAAAAGGTGCTCTGGCACGCTGCACCCCATCCCTCACAAAAAGGTTCATGGCCTCACCTTTTATCACTATCCTGGTAGCAAAACTACTGCAGAACACACAAGGGCATATTAAGATACTAAAGGAAAATTGATACCAGTTTGGAATTCATTTATATGGAGGTCACATAATAAAACATAGTAGTAGAAAACATATTGCTTCTGAGAAACAGTAGGGAGGTCAAAATAAAGGTTCCTTTGGCAACTAATGAAATATACATTGCAGGGAGTAATTATTTTAACTATGTGAAAAGGATCGATATCATCACCTGTTGATGCATTTCTTCCAATTCATCACTTGCAGTTGCTTTATCTGACAAACTTTGTGGAGTTAGTTTTAAATTTTCTTCTATGTATGTAAATATTTCGATTGCATATATCATCAGCGCATCCACTCTTCTCTCTTTGGCTGGGAAGGCACTCTGCAGTATGATGCAAGGACAAAAGTTGTTCATATATTCATTTGATTGACACACAGAATCAAAAGAATGGGAACAAAGGATATCCAGCTAAAATTTGTAAAACTTGAGTAAATGGCCATAATCAAGTGAGCTACGGGAAATTTCATTGAAAAGGGAAGCTATCTGAAAATATCTTGCATATAGTGACTAGGGCACTACTTCAATTTTGTTATTCAGCTGATACATTGTTTCTTTAGTTTTTCTTCATGCACTTCGCTGTAGGGTGCTGCTGTAAATTTCCTCAAGCCACAGTAGCCGGCATTGACTCATGTTATCAAGGAACAAACTGTAGGAAGTGAAGATATGAAGGTGTTTGTTTGAAAGATTATAACAAACTTCTACTATTCATAAAAAATTCCCCCCCAAAAAACATAAAATCAAACACCTACTTTTTATTTTCTATATTATACTAAAAATCAATTTTACATTTAAAACATCACACCAATACCTATTTATATCACATCATTCTAATATTCCAATTCAATATTTTTACTATTCAAATCCAAACCTCCAAACAAACACACCCCAAGGTTCTTTGGATTTCTTTTTTCTTTTTTTTTTTTTTTTTTGCAATTAATCCTTTACAACGTAAATTAATCTTCTGGTGCTTAAAATCCCAAGCTTAAAGGAGTGAGGATAAAACCAAAAATTTCACCATTTTCAGCATGACATCTATTTAAAAGTGACAAGCACCAAAACTACTATAGATGAAAAGGGGGTCATTAGTAAGATCTAACAAAAACAAACCTGAAATGATCGCTTAGCAGCTTGAGAAACTTCGTATACTGAATCAAATTGTGAAAACCACCATGGTCCCATTAGCAATTTCATATGTGGTGCCAGTTCTCTTCTGAAAACAGAAATATAAAAGATATACATCATATTTGGACCAGAAGGATGGCATTGAAAACTCAATAGCTTGCATGTGGTCATGAAAAAGCATATTAGATATAACTCGATGCAAAATTCAGCCTAGCTTTTTGATCAAACTTAGAATGTTAAATTTTGAAATACATACCCTGCACTTCTTTTTCTATGTTATATTGTTTATGTATATAGTAACCAATCTCCTGTCTCTATAATATAGGCGAGAACCATTAACATTACTAAATTTATAACATACTTGAAACACTCAAATGTAAATAGCATTTGGCCCATGTGGAGTGTATAAAAGCTAACTAACAAGAACTGAACAAAATCTTGGATATTGAAATTTGAACTATTGCACTGTCAAAATTGAAATTAAATTACTAACTACATTGCATTCATGGTTAAAAAGAACATTTTGCAACTATCTACAGGTTTTACGATCAGCCACTTCACAAGGATCAACCAGACTAAAGTAACAATTAAAAACAAACCCAATAGCAGTGACAATGTTAGTCATGGTATCATGAGTTGCCCGTCGAACTTCCCTGTTGTAGTCCAGCAGTAGCTTCTTGTACTCAAATGCCTATGTCAAAAAAAAAAAAAAACTATGAACAACCCTAAAGCAAAGTACAGGAATTGTAGAAAAATTTCAACAAGTTAATTAACTGAAACTAAAAAATTTGACATAACTATACCCATTGAGGAATGATTATTGTTACTTCTTTTGCAGGTTTTTGCTTAATAAGTTGAGAAAGTGATGTCAGAGCCTTAAGCTGCAAAACAAACAACAGTTAGCAAGCATGTTCTACATTGTAGCAGCTAGTTTTCTATATCACATAAACATTTAAAACAAAATTTGAAGTAGATAATGTTAATTAATTCACTGGAAAATGTGAAATTCTTTACTTCAATGTACAAATATAAAACCCGCGGTTAACATTATCTCAGATAAAAACACACACGCATAAACACGCAAAAATTTTAATAAATACTTAGGACTCCATATAAAACTCATAAGGCATAGCTGTTCTCTTCAAGAACTTCCATTCATGTATATGTTACCTTACAATAAGGTTGTGTAATCTTAATTTTTTCTGTTGACACTAAACCCTAAGATATTGCATAATCTTAGAATACCCAGAATCAACATAATATACAAAGGTCTCCACTAACTCAATCCAATCAAAATCCAAAATTCAAAAACTGAAATATCATTAGCAAATCTAAAAAAAAAAAAAAAAATGCATTGAATTACTTACCTTGGTTATGGGATCTTTCCGCGAAAGCCGCTTCAAGTGCAGTGCCACTTCACCATCAATTTCCTGCTCGAAAAATCATCAAGTGAGCTAACTCATCACAGACGAAAACCTCGAGGACGCAACATATTCAGCATCTTTTCCATTCGAAACAGGAATAAAACTAACCAAAAAAGGAGAGGCCTCCGGAGTAGAAGGCAGCGAAGAATCCACGCGTGAACTCCCAATATAACCTCCGAAACCCACCGCGGTGGCACCCGACGGCAACAGTGAAGCAGCCATACTGCAATTGTTTTTCGTTATATACTATTCTATGCCCGCAATTGAAGTAAGCAAAGAAAATTGAAACGAAGGAACAACCTACTGCTTGAAGGGCGAGACTTGGCTCTCGCAGCTTCTCCTTTCCCTCTCCCCATGATTTTTGTTCTTGAATATTCCTTCTCTCGAATCAATCGGCCAGAAGTTCAAATGATTAGTGAAATCGAGATTTCTTCCAGCAGATATTTGGAATAAATAAGAAATTTCGAAGCTTGATGAACTCTGATTAGGTTCTCGCTGTTGGGTCGCCCACGGAACGCCGGAGTTTGGGCAGGCAGACAATATATATATACAGACACTCGTATGTATCCCCCGACTGACAAAATTTTTACTGGCCTTTTTTTAATAGTATTAACATTGGGCTTTTATTTCATTTTTTTTTAAAAAAACAATATCAAATGAAATATCTCTTTGTTATTTTTTATTTTATATTAAAAAATTAATTTTAGATTCGAAATATCAGAATCAATATTTATTTATATTTAGTAACATTATTCAAATTTAAAATTTTTATTATTCAAAATTCAACTCAAAATTATTTTGAATTTGAATAGTTGTATGATGTGACATAAATAAGTATATATTTGATGTTTTGGATGTCAAATTAATTTTTAGTATAATATAAAAAATTGAAAAATAGGTCTTTAATTTGATGATTTTTTTAAGAAAAAATTGGATAAATAATGTATTTGTGGAGAATCCCCAAACAAACACACCCTATAATGGATTTAGAAATTTTATATATAGAATATGCGAAGAGTTTAATTGATTTTGTTTATTTATTTATATGGATTTTAATTTTTTTTTTTTATGATGTAGAACCCGCAGCCATAAATTTTGATATATTTTACTGGATTATATATTGATTTACGTAGATTTTACGAGAGTTTATAAATTTATGGACTAAATATTTTTTATTAATTTATATAATTTCATAATATAGGAAGTCTATCTGTATATATATATATAAAAATTTTAAAATATTTAACAAAAATATTAAAAATACATTGGTTCTTAAAAAATATATTTATTATTATTTTTTGTGTTTATTTTAATAATAATAATTTTAAATTTATATTTATATTTTTTTGTTATATTATTATTTTGATTGAATTTGTTAGTATTATTATTCAATGTAATTAATTTTTATCTTATAAAAATCTATTTAATTATTATTATTTATATAATTTTTTACACACAAAAAAGTATATATTTTAAAATAAAATCACATTAAAATTACAATTTTTAATTGAAATTAAAAATATAAGAAATAAAAAAGAATCAATATAAACTAACTGTGTAAATTAAAATCGGTGATTTTTGAACTGAAATCGAAATAAAAAAATACAAATTAAAATTGTAGAATGTTTAATTTCAATTTGATCTTTCAAAAAAATCAAAATTGATAATTTTGATTGGAACCATTTGAACAAATCTATTTTTGTTATTTTAAATATATATAATTTTTAATATTATTTCAAATGTATAAAATTTTAGAAAAATGTATAAAATTTTAGAATATTTTTAATTTTTATATTTACATCTAAATTTTTTTTATATTATTGATAATTTGATATTATTATAATAAAATTGTTGTATTAAATACATATAAAATAATAAATAGTTATTAATAATACAAAGAAAATAATATATTTCTGTTAAAATTTTGAAAATCCATTAAGATCTTAGCTCATAACCAAAGATTTTATACAACTTAATTTGTTAACAATCTTATGAAAAAATTTAACAAAATCTATGAATTGTTGAATATACCAAAATTTGTGAAGATTTTCTAAAATCTTAATTGAATACACTCGAATCTTAAAAAATCTGGACTGAATACCCTCAAATTTTAAAAAACTTAATTAACCAAATTTTAAAAATCCAATTAAATCCAACAAACTCTATATTCAATACACTCCTTTAGAGTCTGTTTGGTTCAAATGAGGGGAGGGGAGGAAATTTAATAGAAGAGGGGGGAGCCGAATGGAGGGGAAAGAATATTAAATTTGTAATAGTTATTTGGTTCATATGGGATGGAAGGAGGCGAGATAAAATAGTATTTTTATGTTTGGTTAAACAGATGAGGAAAAGGAAAATATAATAATTTGTTACTGTTTTATTTTTATGTTATATAAATAAAGAAAAATAAAAGTATTTAATAAAATCCGATTAATTTATTTATAAAATATGATACAATATTTACTTGTCTAATATAATAAAAACAATGATTACATTATTATGTCTTGGAAAGAAGCAAATACTTTATACATTAGTTATTTATTAAATTTACCAATAAAGATAAACAATAGTTTTTACGTATAAATAATAACACTATAACAAAAATTATATAAACTAAGTATATTATAAAAATATTTCATATTAATTAAACTATTTAGTTATTTTAATTTTAATTTATAATTATTTTTACTATACAATAGTTATTTTTACTAGTACACTTCTTAATTATTTACTAATTATATTTTATCTAAATTTTTTCGTATTTACAATAATATGCTCATATGAGACAAAAGAGGTAAAATATTATTATTATAGATATAATTATATGCTAATTTGTAATTTATTAAAAAACTATTATAATTAAACTTGATTAAAAAAAATTAATTAAAACTATTTCAAAAATATATAATATAATTTTAATATTTATTTGATATAATTAAAAATAAAATAAATAAATACTCTCTCGGTCCAATTGAAAGGTTACCATTTTTAATTTTCGTCCGTTCCAAAACAAGGTTACAATTTCCTAATTTAGTAATTGTACTACCTATTATCCTAATAAATACTCTTTCAACTTACAATATATTACACAAATGTCATTACTTTTATATTACACCATACTAATAGGAGTATTTTTGTCTTTTTTTTACTACAATCCAATATAATATTAATATTAAAGAATCTACTTGCAAAAAACAAACGCCACCCTTCCAACGGGACCGAGGGGGTAGTAAAATTTTGAAAAATGTTATAAAATTTCTAATAAAATATGTAAAGGGTATAATAGGTAATTAGATAAAAGAAAATTTTGATAAAATTTTTCCCTTCCAAATTCCCTTAAACTGGAGGAGAAAAAAATTAGAAAAAATTGACTCCCCTCCCTTCTCTTCTAAAAAATTTTGAATCAAACACAAAATTTTTTATAATTTCCTCTCATTCTCTCCCCTCCCCTCCTAAACCTTCGAACCAAAAAGATTAGAGCATATCCAAGGGAGGGCTTTTTTCTCTATTTCTCTATTTTTGCAGGATGTGGAGAAAAAAATTATTCCAATTCTCCCGGTAAATATGCAAATTTAATTATTAAGATCGTCTTTAATCCATAATTCTATTTTTATTTTACACTATTTTTGTAGGTCTGCTACTATTATTATTATAAATATATTATTATTAATATTATTCTGAAATATAAATATTTTATCCTGATCAATTTATTTACACAATTACATATTCAAAATCGCTGCAGCCCCACATGTTCTCCTCTTTCTTTCTTTTTCTTTCCGGTTCTTTCATTTCTTCTATATATCTTCGATCCTCCTCCTTTTTCATCATCATATTTCTTCTTATTCACCTACCCTATTCTACTGTGCCTGCGTTTGGGGCGACGGTCAGATATTTTTTAAAAGAAAAGCTGAACCGCTAGTCAGCCAATTCATATATATATATAAAAAAATGGCAACAAAGTCAGAGTTCTTTAACCGAGAGGTTTAAATTTTTTGTTGAGATAAAAAAATGAAATTTTTTTTATTGTTTTGAACGAAATTGATGGTAAAATGATGTATCTTGACTTGATGTACTCAATTAACATGGAGATGTTGGCTTTGTGGTAATTGTTCGAATCCAACAAGGATGAGCGGTCCATATAATCGGAAATACAATAGATGCATGAGACGGAGATGACGGCTCGGGCTCAATTCCCCTAAGCTCACATGTACTTAAGCCACTTGAATTAATACTTCCTCCATAAAAAAAGTTAATAATAATAATAAAAAAATCAATATTTATTAATTTTCTTTTTACCATCCACAAAGTAGATGAACTTTTTATTAATATAATTTTATTTTTTTTACATATTTCTTAATTTTATCATTCAACTTTACAATTATTTACAAATTTATCATCATCCTAATTATACCTTTATACCATCAATTGATTGTAATTTTTATCTCACATAATTAATTCATCCATCAGTTTTCCCACAATATCACCATCAGCCAGTAACAATATTAATTGAAACCTTTCTCCTATTAACATATTTTCTTGGACAAATGAAATGGAATATAAAACACTATTTTTTATTTTTGTATATTTTCAAACTTTATTTTTTTTTGTTGATTTAAAAAGTATTTTTTCTTCAACAATATTTCATCTATTTTTTTTATTTAAAAAAAACCGTGACAACTACTTGAACCTAAACAAATAAAAAATACAAAATAACATATCGAAATCTTTTATGTGCATATATGATAACAAATAAATTTGCAAAAGCATGATAAACTAATATTGACCTGAATCCAAAAGCCAGCTGAAGTTTATTCATTTTAAGTTTATTTTTTATTTTTTGGTATATATATTTTTTTAAAGTGTAAAACCAAACGTCAAATACCACTTGTAACGGGTCGAATGGTTCCCCTCCTCGAACACCTTTCCGTCGACCTAGCGATTTTTCGACTCCCTCGAAAACTCGCTAGTGCGACCTTGCACACAATTCCAACAGACGCTAAAAGTAAGAACACTGTGAGATACACCCGACAAAGTAGAGTGTTTTATTCATTTTCAAAACTGGAGTGAAGTACAAGCGAGGAGTCCTCCTCTTTATATAGGCACTCTATCAAATTCACACTTGGTTGTACTATATCTTAACAACCTACGGATAAAGATATCTAACTAAAGAGATACTGATAAAGATATCTAAATAAAGATATACTGATAATCTAAATCTAGTTGATAATCATCAATTCGGTTGAGGGGATCCCAAAATAATCAAGATTTCACAACAATAATAATAATTATAAAAATGGCAATCAACAACAATAATGCCAATGATGAAATTTGATAATAGTAATAATAGTATTCGATTCGTTCGACGGTGTTTATAAGTTAATAAAATTTAAAATACAAAGTCGAAGAAGTTGTACCATATATATATTGAATAGCCACACACATTATTCTAGTATACTTTGCTTGGATATTGATTACTACATCCTCCTTGACAACGCAATGTCCATGGCATCAACAAGAAAATCTTACAAGAAAGAATAGATTAATTAGAACAAGATAGGATAAATATGTACTGTACGTGTGAGTACAGCTGTAAATTAATATGAAATGTATATAGATATCGGTGTGTTTGTTTGTGGGTTTTAGTTTTTTAGTTTGAATTTTTGAATAATAAAAAATTGAATTTGAATAGTTGTTTGATGTGATATAAATATAAGTTGATGTTATATTTTGAATCTAAAATAAATTTATAGTAAAAAAAAATAATTATTTGATTTGACATTTTAAAATAAAAATAAAATAAAATAAAATAGTAAAAATATACTATAAAACCCGGGCAAAAGAATATAACCATATATACTCACCAGCATCCTCCTTTGTGAAGCAAAGGGGCGGAGTGATTCTTAATACGTTGCCATAAAATCCGCCTTTTCCTATCAACACGCCCATCTCTGCACAAATAAATTAATTAAAGTAAAATATATATATATATATATATTATACTCCTTCCGTTCGTATTATATTTATCTTTTGTTTCATTTTAATTAACATTAAAAATATTTTTATATTTATATAATTTTTTTATACAAATATCTATTCATTAATATTATAAGACACTAATAAAAATATTTTTATAATTTTTTACTATATTTTGATATAATAATTAATATTCAAATATCACCGTTTATACCTTTCATTTGGTTGATCAGACGAAGAGCATGGGTGGTGGCAGGGGTTTTAGAATCACCATCTGCTACGAGTTCAACCCCCAGCATTAGGCCCCTCCCTCGGACGTCCCCAATCACTGCATCAAATAATATATATATAATAATAATAATAATAATAATAATCTAAAGTATTAATTGATAAAGTAAATACGTACGGTGGTATTTGTGTTTGAGCGAAAGAAGACGTCGTTTTAAGTATGATCCAACAACAAGGGCGTTTTGTTGAAGGTTTTCTTCCTCGATGACTTGAAGAACTGCAAGTCCTGCAGCAGCACAAACAGGATTTCCCCCGAATGTATTGAAATAGTTTCGTTCAGCTAACACCTTCGCCACTTCCCGAGTTGTGATTACTGCTCCGAGTGGCACTCCGTTCCCAATACCCTGCACATCCATCCATATATATATATATATATATTATTAATAATTAATTCATCATAAAAAAAGATATTTCATCCGTTCTCCGCTAATTTGTCATCTCTAACTAGGTATCCAACTAATTTATCCTCTACGGAGTTAATAAAAATAATTATAGATTACAGTTAAGATGACTAAATATTTTAATTAAAATAAAAATATTATAAATTATGAGTTTTAAAATGTGATTAAAGTGTATAATTATATTTGTAAAAAAAAGGATAAATTATGTAAAACGAACAAAAATACAAAAAATAGAGAAATTATGTGAGACGAAAAGAGTAATAATTAAGTAATTAATAGAAGAATACTAATTATTATTATTATTACCTTAGCCATGGTTACAATATCGGGGACGACACCATGAGCCTGGAATCCCCAAAAGTGGTTCCCTGTACGGGCAAAGCCTGTTTGGACCTCATCGGCTATGCAAAGTCCACCTGCTTTTCTAACAGCATCGTATACTGCCGGAAGGTAACCCGGTGCCAACTCCATAATCCCGCCAACTCCCTAAGCAGTACATAATTTAATTAAATTAAATTAATTAATTAATAAATACAAGAAAATGTAATCGTATATATACTTCTTTCGTCCCGCCTACCATGTCCGTCCCACACTTTCCTTTTTTTTAAAAAAAAAAAATGATTACACACCTTAATCTATTTTATATTTTCTATTTTTTTAATTTTGATTAAACTAGTTAGTTATTATAAGATAATTATTTTTATTAATATATTTTTAATTATCTACTATTTATACTTATTTTAAATTTTTATATCTGCGGTAACACAGACTTTCAACGTGGGACGGAAGAAGTATTATATAAAGAGAGGACAAGACAGGACCTGTATGGATTCGGCAATGAAGGCAGCGACACGGCCGCATGTGGCGTAAGTAATTATATCTTCAACATCCTTGGCATATTTGGCTCCGTCTGATCCGAACACACCTCTGTACTGGTCTGGATTTTGAGCGTGGTGAACTCCACTCTGTGCGTAATTTCATTCAATTATTTATTTGCATAGCTACCTAAGAATTAATTGATTAAGAAGGCCATGCATATATATATATATATATATATCTAGATATATGTCATGAGATCCTCTGTCCTAAAAATAAATTCTATCCCCTATTTCTACACACATAATGTGTATACATACACTCTCTCTATTCTGAGTTTGAACTTTGAGCTGGGATTTGAATTGTAATAGTCGTATAATGTAATATAAATAGATGTTGATATGATATTTTGTAAAATTAATTTTTAGTATAATATAAAAAATGAAAAATAAGTATTTGATTGAATATTTTTTGAAAAAAAAAAATTGTTATATAATAGAATTTGGAGGATTTTCCCCAAATGAACACACCCATATCATATGTATGTATGCACATTATGTATACACCGATATTGGTGTGGGAATAGGAGAATAAGATTTATTTTTTTGAACAGAGATCCCATGGCCGTGTATCTATATAAAGGTATGTATATACGCTATGGGTGTGAGAACAGAGGGATAAAGTTTATTTTTTAAGACAAAGAATCTCATGACATATATCTAGAAATATATGCATGCTCGTGTGTGTATATATATACATTATGTATGTGAGGATAGAAAATAAAATGTTTTAATGAGGCAGAGAATTCGATCTGATATATATATATATATATATATGAAATAGAGAGAGACCTGAAGAACATTAAATTTGTAGCTACTTTGAGCAGTGACGGCCATTGAGGCGAGCGCATTACCGTGATAGCCGTTTCTTACTGAAATAACATCTTCACAGCCACTGTACAATCTCGCCATCAGCAAACTCAACTCTGTTGCCTCCGTCCCGCTGTTCGTGAAGAACACTACCTGAGGAAATTAATTAATTAATTAATTAACTAATTAAATGGAAACAACCTATCTAGCTAAGAATACATGTACGTATTATTATGTACACTCACTCTACCTATTATTATTGCATCTCAATAATAATAATAATAATAATAATAATAATGATAATAATTTTTTTTTTAAAAAAAATAGAGAGTTTTATTCCAACTCAGATTCACGATTATCCTAGTGCTAAAATACTTGTAAACCTCTTCAGTACGGCTTATACTCTAGAAATGATTGTTTCACTATCTAACGCTACTATATCACACCCCTGTCTCACAAACCCGTCCACATTCACGTCCAAACAAACTCTCAAACAATAATACTAATTGAAGTATAAAAATAAAAATAAAAAATCACAAAAGAGCACTAACAATCAAGCATCCTATGATGTCGTTTTTTTTTTTTTTTTTTTTTTTTAATTTATTTATTTATTTTTTTTTTTATGATGCAGGCGCTACCCGAAAGTGCGCACTGGGTAAACCTCCAATCGAACCTAATACCCTGCAAACCAGGCCCGACGGAAAAGTCACACTAGGCGAACCATGTGTGGCAGGTGACCTGAGGCGTCGAGGGTTTGAACCATCATCACAGTCACAAGTTCAACCCTACCCTACTAGGTCATGCTTTACGGACCCTATCATGTCGTTTTAGGTGAGGGAAAGAAGGGAAACATCATCAATCAAACATTATACAAAATGAACATCTTTCCTTACTTAAATACCTTAAAAAAAAAAAAAAAGAAGAAAGAAAGAAAATATTGGTCTTTTCGATATGATTTGCATTCATCAGATTAAATTTGTTCAAGATAGATTTTATTTTAGATTTATTGTCGATAAAAATAATTATCATTTCCATAATAGCAATGTTAACATATTAAAGTGACACTATGTCATTTAAGATTTGATTATAATGGATAAATTTATTTTATCCATTAATATAACAAAGCTTGAAATTAAAACTAACTAAGCTATATAATTTCTTATTTTTATTATATGTTAGTGTTAGCATAAAATAATAAGGTATTTATATGTATCTCGATCCGAACTTATCCATCTACTATTGCATCATAAAAATTAAATAACATTTTCTTTCATACTCAACTTAATATGTTTGGTTTGTGTTTCGAGACAAATTAATATTATACAATTCATACAACACTCAAAAGTGTGTTTATTTACGTCCAAACCCCCAAATTTTTATTATTTGGACAATGTATTTTTCAGAAATTTTTTTTTTTTTCATAAAACATCACATCATATATTATTTTAATGTCAAACTCAAACCAAATTTTTTTCAAATCTATCAAAAGAAGCAAACCCTAAATTTTCATTCAAAACCAAACAAATTCAATAAAGGTATAAACCTAATCAATCAATTTCTAGTTTAATACATTAGATCAAATCTTACATGGGTGTTTTTGTTTGGGAGATTTTGATTGAATTCTAGAGTTTGTTTAAAATTAATTTGAAAGAATATTGATTTAATTATTTTTCAATGTTATTTTAATTTAATATTTGACAAAATTGTCCATAACTTTTAACTTAAACCCTTACTTTGTAAAATTTGTGCATCTCTTGTACTTTAAAAAATATTGCATAAAATTCGTTTTTAATTTCAAAATTTATTATAAATCCTCACTTTTACTTTAAAAATTGTTAGCACAAACCTCCCACCATTCAAAATTTATAATAGGAAATCATTTCTCATAACACAAGGAATCAACTGATTTTCGTACCTTGAGGTCGCCGGGGAATTTGGAGGCAAGAGCTTCGGCGAATTCAGCTATGGCGGAGTTCAAGTAGAGAACGGTGGAATGCTGGAAGCGCTTGGTCTGATCGACGATCGCCTCCACCACGCGCGGATGGCAGTGACCGCAACTGACTGTCGCAATTCCCCCGAACGCATCCACATACCTCCTTCCTTTCTCGTCGAACAGATACTGCATCTTACCCTCTACCAAACACAACTACCAAAAACAACAACAACAACAACAACAACCAGGATCCATAACCGCTTAATTAAATCAATCGAAAACAGAGCAAATCCAATCCAATCTAATAGAAAAAATTAAAGAAGAAATAGAGTGAAAAAAGTCTCACCGGTTCTGTGAAGAGATGGAAGACAGCAGGATTGAGGAAGCGCCGGCGTTTCTGCAAAATCTCGTCGGCGGACGGTCCGGTGTACGGAGGCGGCGTGTAGTCGAACGAAGGCATGATTGGATTTGTAAAATCGTTATCGTGTGAAGGCTGTGCGAGAGACGATTTGAAAGCAGTAAAGGAGCGAAGGAAGCGAGAGGATTTGGAGGAAAATACCCTCCGGAGGATTGGGAACGCCATTTTCGACTTCAAAGGAAGAAAATTTTGAACATGCAGAGTTGTGATGAGAAGTTTTGCAGAGAATACATTTACTTATAGTGCTGAGCAATGCCGTGGCGATTTCTTTCTCGATAATCTGGATCGTTGATTTAATCCCAATTAAATTTTATTTTATACATATACTCTTTCCATCTTATATCTATATATTTATTTACTTTTTGGGATAAAGTAAAAATAAAAGTAAAAAGACTAAATTAACTATGATACAAATGTAACGAAAGATATTTGTCATGTCAGTACAATTACTAAAAAAAAATGGATATTTTTATTATTAAACGGACCAAAATGAAAAAAATAAATAAATTATTAAAGGACGAATATTATTTTGTTGTGGAATGCTGATAAATTTTCTGATATTATTATTTAGTTTTTAAAAAAATATATATTTATGCAAGTCCCACTACATAGATGTATATTCAGAGTGTGTTTGTTTGAAGAATTTTGCAAAAATTACACTTTTACGTTTAAAACATCACATCAATACTTATTTATATCACATCATATAATTATTCAAATTCAAAATTTTTACTATTCAAAACCCACTTTAAAATTCAAACATTCAAACAAGCACACCATCTGGGGGTTTGGGAATGAGTTTTTTAAATGTTTGGCCAGCCTTTGATAAATTAATTTTTTAAAAGAAATTTTGGATTTAAAAAATTAATTTTGAAAAGTTAATCTATACCCACTGTTTTAAAGAATTTTTTCACTTTAATTTTGTTTAATCATCATTTATGCTTAAAAATTAATTATTTATTATATATATAAATATATTTTTATTGAATTACTTATTAGTTATTTTAATGTATTTAATTTATTAAATTATAATTTTATTTTTATAAATTTAAAATAATTACTATTATTAATTATTATATAAAAATCATTTTATGTGTAAGATATATAAATATATTAAAATTAAATCAAATAGAAAAGAGAAATAACATTAATTTATTTATATATTTTTATTATATAAATTTTATATTAAAAATTAATAAGCAATAATTAACATGATAAAAGTATATATACAAAAATTTATTGTTTTATATTTTATTACAATTTCAATAAAAATTATTATTATTTTTTTAATAAAAATATTTTTCTTAAATCTAAAAAATAAAAATAAATATTTTATATTTTTATAATTTTCAATAATTAATAACATAAATTTTAAACCAAAATGAACAAAATTAAATATTTAAAAAAATAACATATCAATGTCCTTAATTTTCATTTTACGTATAAACATCTAATATCAAACTGTTATTTTACCGAATGTTTTAATACAAACCGTTAATCGAATCAGTTAGTCAAAATAGTTAATCGAATCAATTAGTTAAAATAGTTAATCGAATCAACTAACAGCTATCAGCTAATTGTCAAACACATCTTTACTCTCCGTGGTCCATTTAATATGTCTGAATTTAGGAAAATTATCATTAATAAATATTTAAAAAATTAATAAAAATAATTATTGTATAATACAAATATTAGAATAATTAATTAATTTAATTAAGGTTTAAAAATTTTAAATTATTAAAATTTTAAATATAATTAAAGTATATAATCATTTTCTAAAATACATACAAATTACATGTAAAGCCCTACAAGCTGACGAACAAACCTTTCTTTAAGGGTTGGGAGAGAGCACCCGAGGCCGGTGCAAAAGACCAGAGTTGTTTCACGTGTGGAGGGCCACACTTTGTTAGGGATTGTCCGAAGAGGAAGGTTCTCAATGCTACCACCGTAGTCCAAGAGGAGCGGGAGAAGCCCGAAGAAGCGAGGTTGGGAGCAATGAGAGTCCTCAATGCCGTAAAGGCAAGCGACGAAATGTTCACGGTGCCTACGGAGGAGGGACCCGAGGATGAACTCATATATTGTGAAGCCAAGGTAAACGGGATACCTATGAAGGTCTTGATGGATTCGGGAGCATCTCGAAACTTCTTGTCCGAAGACAAGGCGACGGAAATGGGTGTAAAGGTGACGAAGGGAATTGGGTGGATGAAACCGGCGGATTCGGCGTCAAAACCAATCACTGGCATGGCCAAACAAGTCCCGGTTCAAATTGGTGGATGGCACGGAAATTGGACTTCATGGTGCTACCGATAAGATTACAAAGTCATATTTGGCGTGAAGTTCATGAGAGAAATGACGGTGATCTTCCACAAGACCAAGTCAATGAGCTTCACGGAAGGTGACGTAAGTGTTTTTGTTCCTTTGCACGTTGAGAAAGTTAAATCGCATGTTTTGTCGGCTATGCAAGTTTCGAAGGGATTCAAGCGAGGGCACGAGACGTACTTCGTGGCTCTCAAGGAGGATGACCCGTCAAAAGGCCAAGATGTCCCGACGGAGATCAAAGGCGTGCTAGACGAGTTCGAGGACGTGATGCCCCCGAATTACCAAAGAAGTTGCCCCCGAGATGAGAAGTCGATCACGAGATCGAATTGGAGAAAGGGGCGAGACCTCCGGCAATGGGTCCATACCGGATGGCCCCGTCCGAATTGGAGGAACTTCGAAGACAACTAAAGGAGTTGTTGGATGCCGGCTACATCCGACCATCGAAAGCTCCTTATGGTGCACCGGTGCTATTCCAAAAGAAGCAAGACGGGAGCCTTCGAATGTGCATTGACTACCGGGCGCTCAACAAGGTGACAATCAAGAACAAGTACCCGATACCATTGGTGGCGGACTTGTTCGACCGCTTGGGGAGGGCCAAGTGGTTTTCGAAGTTGGACTTGCGGTCGGGATATTGGCAAGTTCGGATTGCGGAAGGCGACGAGCCAAAGACCACTTGCATAACGAGGTACGGCTCCTACAAGTTTTTGGTTATGCCCTTCGGCTTAACTAACGCCCCCGCTACCTTTTGCACTTTGATGAATACGATATTTCACCCATTTTTGGACAAGTTTGTTGTGGTGTACTTGGATGACATAGTCATCTATAGCGAGTCCCTAGACGAGCACGCGGAGCACTTGCGATTGGTGTTCCGGGCCTTGCGGGAGAACAAGTTGTATGTGAAATTGGAGAAATGCTCGTTCGCCCAATCGGAAGTGATGTTCCTCGGACACAAAGTGAAGCAAGGCGAGATCTTGATGGACACAAAGAAAGTGCAGGCAATTGTCGAGTGGGAACCGCCTAAGAACGTTTCCGAACTTCGGTCGTTCCTTGGGTTGGTGAACTATTACCGGCGATTCATTGCGGGATACTCGGCGAGGGCGACGCCATTGACAAACTTGTTGAAGAAGAAAGTTGCTTGGGAGTGGGGTGATGAGTGCCAAGCATCCTTCGAGAACTTGAAGGCGGCGGTCGTGGAGGACCCGGTACTTAGCCTCCCGGATTACTCGAAGCCGTTCAAACTTCACACGGATACCTTGGACTATGCCATTGGAGGAGTGGTGATGCAAGATGGGCATCCCGTGGCGTACGAGTCTCGGAAACTCAACAACACGGAGCGGAGGTACCCGGTCCACGACAAGGAAATGTTGGCAATCATCCATTGCCTTCGGACATGGAGGCACTACTTGCTCGGGAGTCACTTTGTGATCAAAACGGATAATGTGGCGACGAGTTACTTTCAAAACCAAAAGAAGATCACCCCGAAGCAAGCACGGTGGCAAGATTTTTTGGTGGAGTTCGACTACACATTGGTGTACAAGCCGGGCAAAGCCAATGTCGTGGCGGATGCACTTAGTCGGAAGGCTTCCTTTGCGGCGATTACTCAAGTGCAAGGAGACCTTGCCGACCGAATCAAGGAGGGATTAGCCGAGGACTCCTTAGCCACGAACTTGATAGAAATGGCTAAGAAGGGCACGACGAGGAAGTTTTGGGAAGAGAATGGCCTACTCTTCACGGTCGTGGATCGACTATTTGTGCCACGGTGGGATAATCTTCGGCGGGATATCCTTAAGGAGTGTCACGACTCCAAATGGGCGGGACACCCAGGTATTCATCGTACTAAGGCGTTGGTCGAGCAATCGTTTTATTGGCCTAACATGCAGGATGATATCAATGCCTACGTACGGACGTGCTTGGTTTGCCAACAAGACAAGGTTGAGCAAGCCAAACCGGCGGGACTTTTGGAGCCATTGCCGATTGCCGAGCGGCCGTGGGATAGTGTGACGATGGATTTCATCTCGGCGTTACCAAAGTCGGACGGATGCGGATCGATCATGGTGGTGGTCGATAGATTTTCCAAGTATGGGACGTTCATACCGCCGACAAAAGATTGCAAAGCCGAGGAAGCCGCCCGACTATTCTTGAAGCATGTGGTCAAGTATTGGGGAGTGCCGAGATATATCATTAGCGACCGTGACCCACGCTTCACCGGGAAGTTCTGGAGGGAGCTTTTCAAACTCTTAGGGTCGAGTCTCCACTTCTCGACGAGCTTTCACCCGCAAACCGACGGCCAAACCGAGCGGGCGAATCACTTGTTGGAGATATACCTCCGACACTTTGTAAGTGCCAACCAAACTGATTGGGCTCGTTTACTTGATGTTGCACAATTCTCGTATAACTTGCAGCGTAGCGAGTCTACCAATCGGAGTCCTTTCGAGTTGGTGACGGGGCAACAACCGACGACGCCCCACGAGTTGGCACGGGGATACGAGGGAGCGAGTCCGGCGGCGTACAAACTTGCTAAAGGATGGAACGAGGAGCACGACATAGCAAGGGCGTACTTGGTGAAGGCCGCGAAACGGATGAAGAAGTGGGCGGACGACAAGCGACGTCCACGGGATTTCGAGGTCGGGGACCAAGTGTTGGTCCGAATGTTGGGGAGGAATGTAAAGGCGATCCGTCAAGTGCACAAAGGCTTGACACGGAAGTACGAAGGACCGTTTGAGGTAGTGAAGAAGGTCGGAACCCGATCGTACTGACTCAACCTACCCGACAACTTCAAGATCCACCCGGTCTTTCACGTGAGCTTATTGAAGCCATATCATAAGGATAAGGAGGACCCGTCCCGGAACGAGTCACACCGTGCTCCACCGACGACGATGGTATCCTACGAGAAAGATATTGCGGAGATCATGGCGGATCGTGTGATGGGCAAACGGGGGACACCCCGTTGGACCGAATACTTAGTCCGGTGGAAGGGCGAGCCGGATAGCGAGGCGTCATGGGAGAAATAACAAGACCTATGGCAATTCAAGAACCACATCGAGGCGTACCGAGCGAGCACTTGACGAGGACGTCAAGGTTTAGGTGGTGGAGAATTGTCACGGTCGGACTTTCAAGCGGACACATGGCGGTGGTTTTCCTATACTTAACACTTTTCATTATGCCAAAGACAATTCACTCAAACTCACTAGCATCTTCTAGAAGGTTCCGGAAGGTGGTAGAACTTGGCATTAATGAGGTAGTTGGGAGTTGATGGTTGATTGTTGATAAATCGCATTTAATTCGGTAGTTGAGGAGATAATATTTACTCATTTGGCCTGTATAAATAGGTGCTCGCACCTCACTTGTAATCATCCAAGTCTTTAGCAATCAAAAGCATTTTTCTCCACACTTTCTCTCTCTAGTTTCTCTCTCTAGAAAGCCATTGGCTTTTGTGGTGCTTGGCCGAGTCGGGAAGCCTGCCTTAGTAGCCGACGGGAGTGAGTTGCTAAGGGGCGCACAGTTACTTCGAGTGAAGGAAGTTAACCCGTGACACCGTGGTCTGAAAATTCACAAGTAAACACACCCCGTTTTGAGCTAATAAAATTTTATTTGTTGCAGATTAATGAAAATTTTTAGGCAAAATAGTATAAAATCCCTGTGTGGTTATCCGAATTTACTGAAAACCCCCATGTGGTCTGAAAATTCCATAAAACCTACTTACGGTTTCTAAAATTTTGCAAAAAATCTATCTTCCGTTAGGATTTAACCGTAATTGCCTCTCACACGCTCATATTGCAATTTTTTGTACAAAATTGATATATTACTGCGTAAAATTACAAAAATACCCTTAGATATGAATACACCTATTTTTCTCTCATTCACCTTTTTCTTCCCATTAACCACAGGGGACAGATGATTGATGCCCTGGGCAATAGGCGGTGGAAGACTGGGGCGAATGCACATGGCGATGCGCAGTGGTCGCGGTGACTGTCGAACTGGAACAAATATTCTCTTTCGGTGAAAGCAAGAAAAATTTAAACAAAATCCCAAACGAAGAAACACCAAACTAAAAAATAATAAAAAAAAATCAATACACTCAACAAAGTGAGTTCGCAATCGTATTGTTATGTTGGGAAGAATAAAAAAACGGGTTGATTTTTCTTCACCATCAATGGCAAAAATTAAAATTAAGATTTGGATTAAACCCCAAAAAAGGGACTGTGGCGACACGGCTAGCGGCAGTGGCGGAACTAGGATTTGACAAGAGGATGAGCTAATTTTTATAATTTCCGAAACAACGCAATCTATTTATTATAGATAATTTTACTTTTTGATATGTCATATTTTGAAAACCTTACAAAATAATAAACTACAACATTGACTTCAAATTGCAATATTCATTTTGATATTGTTTGAAATATGTTGTAACGAATTATGATTAATGATCGAATAATAAACAAAACCGTAAAAAAAACACAGATTTATGTGGTTCACCAACAATGTTATTGGAGTTTTTCTATTGTTTCTTTTGCGCATATTTCCCAACATATTTTCCAAAAAATTAATATATTACTTATATTCATTATTTTTATGGTAAACTATTTTTTAATCCCGTAATTGGACTACATTATTATTTTAATTCCGTAAGTAGAGCCTGTTGCAAACTAGTCCCATAGGTTAAAAATTTTCGTTGTTTTAGTCTTCCGGCGCCGGAGATGCCCGCGTGGCTCGCCGGAGGCCACGTGTCTGCCAGGTGTCGCTGACCTGGCAGACACGTGGATTTTATTTTATTTTTTTAAAAATTCATTTTTAATTTATATTTAATTTTTTTAAATTTTTTTATTTGGTCCAATTGAAAAAAAATTAAAAATTTTAAAAAAAATTTAAAAAAAAAATAAAATCCACGTGTCCACCAGGTGTCGCCGACCTGGCGCAGGATGGCGGGACACCTGGCGGACACATGGATTCCGACGAGCCACGTGGGCGTCTCTGGCGCCGGAGGACTAAAACAACAAAAATTTTCCACGAGACTAAAATGATAAAAGAGTTCAGTTACAGTACTAAAAAACAGTTTACCCTTATTTTTATATTACTTATATAATTTTCTATACCTTATATCAAAATTTTTTCTTCAAATCAAAACACAAAAGAAACACATAATATCACATAACACTTAAAAAATCTAAACTCAACTCAAAACCCAAACAAACATCTCCTATGTAAAATTTTAATATATTTTAAATTTATTCTAATTACTTTATTTTATACTACAAATATAAATATTATATACATATATATATATGTTAAGAAAAAGGAAATAAAAGAACTAAAGGATGGAAATAGGGAGAGGTAGGCTAAGTATTATATATACATATGTTAAAATTTAAAATAAAAAATAAATGAAAAATTAAAGGGGTGGGGTTGGGGGAAGGGAGTCAGATGATTCCTCCTCGAACATCTTTCTGTCGGCCTAGCAATTCTTCGACTCCCTCGAAAACTCGCTAGTACAGTCTCGCAAACAGCTCTAACGCACACTAAAGTAAGAACACTATAAGATGCACCCGACAAAGTAGAGTGTTTTATTGACTTTCAAAATTGGAGTGAAGTACAAATGAGGGCTCCTCCTAAGATAATTTTATAAATTATAAATGTATTCTTTTAATAAAAATTTACCGAGTCATACAAAGAAAAATTATAAAAATATTTGATGAATAAAGAAATAAAATATAAACACTAGTTTTTCTTCAGCTAGTTTAACTATCATGTCATGATTCCCTGTTAGCCAACATGGTACAAGGTCAAGAAATCAATTCTAATAACAACTATGGAGTCACATCAAGTTATGATAGACATTTGTTTAGATTCATTCACAAAGTGAATACTCCTTTCTTCCTGTTCTACTGGCAAGTGCTCTAATCGCAAAAGAGAAACAACAATGTCATTTTTTAAGTCTTCAAAGAGCGCGAAAGAGTGTTTGAGGCTAGATGGTCGAAAGGTTCGAAAACCACATATTACAAAGAGATGGACATGAGAACAAAATTGGATGTATTTATCTGAAGAGTCAAGAAAGAGCACATACTCGATTGCCAGCAAACTCAGCTACGACTCCTTTGAAGCTGTCAAAGGATTTCCATTTTTGGGCAGGAAAAGCGGGGGAAGAAAAGATGGGATGACAAACGCCAGCACCAAACATGCCAGTAATAGACCCACAACATACCAAGCCTTGTGCGGAATCCCAAGAAACAGCTCGTCGCAAACTGCCATTGAGTTAGAGAGATAGGATCAGGCAACCATACCGATGTGTGGAATTCAACAAGAATTCATGAAATACAGACTACTCACATTCGCCAACAACATCAAACAAATCTGAGGAGGGACATAAATATTTGAGAGATCAAGATTAAGCATGTGACAAAACACATAGAGGGAGATGCACAATAAATATTAGACAGGATAATGAGGAATGCATAGAATGAGATTGACATTGGTGATTATGCTAATTGAAAAGTTTCTACGACCCTTACCAAAAACATGATATGAAAACAAGTAATAAAGCACCAAGGTACCTATATTAAAGACGACATATTCTCTTTCTTGTTTCCCCGGTATAGCAACGATGCCTTCAGGTTTCACATTCACAAGTACAGACATTCCGACCTGACCAAAGGTTCCAAAACAATAAACTCACTTTAATAAAAGAACGAGAACACTCATTATCAGACACAATTAAAGAACTAACCTAACCAACCTGGTCATTGACAGTCTTGAAAATTAACTTTTCAGTATTTAACAATTTCCTTCCTTGATTTAGCCCCAAGCCGGAAGCTCCTTTTATTAGTTGCAAAGAGAAGCTGGCCGGTATCTGTCATTATCATGAGATTATAAACTATTTCTGCAACTAACAATGCATTAAATGGGCAGATTTGAAGGACATACAGAAGCAGGGTACGATATCTTCACTTCATACCACGTATGCGGTTTCAATTCTCTCAATTGGTAGATACAATCACCATTCTGTAATGGCAACATTTCCTCAAGCAGTTCCTTGCCAGCATACAAAATACTTTCTTTGGTTCTGCCAAATTTTTAAAGCCTTATTAATGAAAAGCAATCATACCAACCAACTTCTACCATTCACCAAATGACCAAATGCAGAAGTTAGAATGTCACATGTTTTAGAAAGTGGACTAAGGTAATAAAGATTAGTTGATTCCTTTTGCAGTTTTATCTGATCTTACAGCAAGTATAATTCCTAATAAAATTAGCAACATAAAAACTACATGGCCATAAAAAACTTACATACTTCCTCGAGTGGATGGTGGACAATTGAGTATGGCGATCAAAGAGCACAAGTAAAACCACTGCAAGTGTTTCATGTTTTGGGTCAAATTAAGTTTCCAGCCACACCTAGGTTGGTTTGTTACCTGAACAGCAGAACAAATTGAATTAGTGGCGAGAAACAAGGGCAATATAAACAACCATCAATTTCAGAATATACAGCATTAATTTTCATCATCTGTTCTTATCAACTAATAAAACTTGCCAACGGGACAAATAAAAGAACAGCTGGATCAAGACATCACTGGTATCGACTTTGATCTAAAGCAGAGGAACCAACAATCATATAACCCGACACAAAGAATCTTTCGATGAATATAACTTCCTTACAAATATTTATGATTTTTAGTAACTAATTTGGAATTTTAGTAAATATTTAATCAAATCGAATTTCAATCACATTTCGATCTTCCAACATCTAAATGCAAACCAAAATTAAATTTCTGTGACAAAATCCAAAAGGAGGGCTTTCAGAAAGTTCTTTCAATCTATATGCTACCTTCAGAGTCAGCGGCACTAGTTCGAGTTCTTCAGGCAAAGGGAGAACGATAGAGAACGCCTGCGCAAATTCTCAGGCGATAGATTTAGGGGAGGCAAGCAACAGTGGGATTGGGCTTGCGTCGGATCTTATAGAAAGCAGGGCGGGGGCGGATCAGAGCAGCTTCTCCAAACGGCCTCCCATTTTCCTGCATTCTGCTGTATATGTAGGGTTGTTGGTACTGTCCAAACCCACTCTTCATTTGCGCCGGTAGCACCCTTCCATCCCGGAGTGTTTTGTTCTTTTTAATCTAATTGTTTGTTATTTTCTTATAAAATACTCCATTCCCAAACAATGATTATATATTTACTTTTCCTTTTGATAGCATTTTAATTATAATAGATAAATAAAAATAATGTAATAATATTTATGCGTATATTTTTTAGTATAAAAATAATAATATGATATAAAGTAAAAATATTTATAAAAAAAATAAAATATTTAATAAAATAATTACTTTTGTAATTAAATATCCCAAAATAAAAATATATTTACTTTATAATTGAATTGAAAAAATATATAATAAAACATAATTATATCATATATATATATATATATAAAAGAGTTCCAAGCGTTTTGCAATCCTCAAATTTTCTTTTTCTTTTTTTTTTTATAATTTTTTATATAATACTGAAGATACAATTTTTACTATAAATACAGCTTATTTTATATAAGAAGTGTATCTCCACTATTATATAAAAAATTGTTAAAGAAAAAAAAAAAAAAAAACTCAAAATTTTGAAATTACAAATTGCAAAATTTTTAAAAAAAATATATAAGATCCACGTTGAGCTCTTTTATATAAGATTATTCGTAACATGATGAAAATATTTCTCCGTGCTGAAGAAACAAGCACTATAAGTCCGTGCTTGTGGAATGGAAACAAACATCCCGGCTATTTGTTCGCAAGGAAATTTTTCCATAAACCTTCGATAATTTATTGCAACTTTTCCCCAACTAAACATCCACTCGATCGTTGGGATGTTCTCTTCAGATTTTTTGGTCGATTCTGCTTAAGATCCCTTCTTCATCTCCGATTCTTTTGTCACACTGTAAAGAACCAAAAACTGGTTGATAGAGAAGGCGACAATCCCTGAGAAGCTAAAGCTGCATCACAAGCTGGGCACACTGATTTTCAATACTTAAATTTCCCCTTGATCTATATTTATGATGCAAAGTTTTCCCTGGGACAAAAACAGTGAAAACTATTTGCGGGAGATATAACATCAATTTATGAAGATGAAATTATCAACATATGGATACATCAACAGCTTAGGAACTTTCAATTTTGCTTAAATGCTACTTTCTTATGTCAAACTTATTGCATTATCATCTGTATTTTACGAAGGAACATATGTGTAACTATTTAGTAGTAACAATTTACTCGATATATTGCCTGGGATAAGACAGCCTATAAAAAACTCGACAAAAATAAGTGCATTTGGTCATGCTTGTGCCTCCAAGGTGGGATCGATGATTTTATTGTTTAGTAGCAAAGAAACTGCATACCTTGGGATTGTCCGTACCCTTGATGCTCACTTTGGATCGGATGACTGAATCCTGTGGCGCTTGAAAAATTCTCGGAATCCATAAGCGCTAATGTCATAGTTGAACTGTAAGAATTGAGGGAAGAAACAAAATCATGCCAAGTTCATTGGTAACAAAATTAGCCGAGACTAATAAACAAAGTTTGTGCGAAAGAATCTCCCGAATGACATTACAATGTCTAGGACTTCAAAGTTACAGCCTACGATAAATATTCAAGCTTTAAATTGCTCTTAGAGAGACAATATGTAAATTCCGAAGTGAAAAGATACACAGCCCTTATATATTCTTTTCCTAAAGAAAATGTTCAGATCTTCAAGGCCTCCTTAAAGAAAATGACTACCTTATGTAAAAGTGAAAGGAGAAAAACACCATTTTGGAACATCGAAATTTTGAGAACCGCATTATATTGTGGTGAGAAACGATAAATCATAAGCCATGATCATCATGGCTGAGTGTGTATATATCATTCTGAGTTGACATTATATCCAAATATTACACGAGCAGATAAAAAAGTTCATGCAAATTGATTGCATATACTACCCTAATGTAAATGTGAAAAGGGATGAATATCTATGTTGGAGCCTTGAAAGTTTGAGAACGGAATTGAATTGTGGCGAGAATTCATAAACCATGAATATCATGAGTGAGTGTGTATAAATTATTCTAAGTCGAGTCGTTGACATTATATCCAAATATTATACAGGCAGATTAGAAATTGCAAATTGTCTTGCATATATGATAGATAAAGTCAATGCAGGAGTCCAAAGGTTTCAGGAACTTACAGGTAAAACCTTAACGGAGTACTTTGTGATATTTGGATCGATAGTCTTTCCTGAATTAGAAGCCTGCATTTTCATCATCGTTACAAAAAACTAGCAAGATACATAGACAAAAAAAAAAAAAGAAAAATAGACAAATACAACTCATGGAGGTTCCGATCAAAAATAAAATAAAATACAACTCATGTAGGAGAAGACACTAAAATCATTAATAACGGAGCTTATTAAGCATTCTATTTAAACACGATTTTTTAAGTTTTAGCACTATTTATCGACAGTATTTTTATAAAAAACATTACATTGAATACTTAATTTCTTTCACAAAACATCACATAAAATATCCTGCTTTTTATTATTCATAAAACTTATCTGCAATTTATTTAGTTTCATATTCAAAATGAAAAATAACTTACAATGGACATTTGGGCTTTATTTTATTTTGAATTTTTTTTTACTACATAACCCTAAAGATTCCTTTTAAAAATATAATATTTTGTCTTATAAAACATCACATCCAACTACTATCTACATACAAAAGACAAACAAAAAGCCAAAATAATAAAGCCGAATTCTCCTCAAAATTAGATTTTGCACCTTTTTACAGCTAGCTATCTTGTTATAAATTATGATGAGAACATTAAACATTGATCATCCAATTCAATGAGAAACTAAAAATGTATTTCGAGATTCTGATAGAGATGCGATTATTGATGAAATACCTGTTCTGGGGTGTGAAATATTTCTATAAAGGGATATTCCTGCTTCTGGCGTGAAATGCAGAATCCAGGATACTTTGGACATTCAACCTAAGACACAAGAGCCACAAACAGACAATGAATGTGAAATTCCCTCAAAACGAGCCTAAGACGCTATTATGAAATTAATAATTATCAGTCTTACATCATCAATTATCAACAATTGGAATAACCAATAATCTTCACTGTAAGCATAAAGAAAATTCATACTGATGGTAACTACGATAAGTATAAGCTAATTCTATAACCACTTTTAGATCAAGGGTAAAAAATATAAAGCAATAACTTACACGCATAAACTTAACATGTGGATCAAACTCAGCAGCAGCTTCCTCCAATACGCTGTCGAGGCGCTTGGTCAGATTGCACCTACATTGATCAAAGGCTTTAATAATTCATGAATACTACTAGAGTATTATAAGATTCATATTGCATCACAACATCAAGAGAAGTTTCAAATGTTACTTTATAGTAAATGCAACCACCACAGGGTAGCCCTGATGAAGGAGCTGCACAAACTCACGCTCTGATGTAAAAGGAATAACCCTTGACGGCCCAAGATCTTTTGGATAGCCAGTATAGTACCTTCGAATAACCCAGCAGTGGATGCAAAGATGGTGTGAGTGATTAATAAAAGAACATATAAGAGACTTGTGGATATCACAAAACTTTAGGACAATGCATCACCTCGATTTCTTCACTGAAATGGTGCTAAAGGAATAGCGAATCACACTAAAAGAATTTAAGTCTCATTGTCAACTAATGTACACAATTCATTCATCTGATCCTGTTAGAAATATATCACACAACATGTGAAAAATTAAAAAAATAAAAAGGAAGGCGGGGGCAATAAACCATCATAGCTATAATCGGATTGCCCCCGCCCTTCTTAGTGAATAATTCTCTTTGTTTACTTGGTGAGTTATTATTATTTTGGTTAAATAGTGGGTAGGATGCAATGTTTAGTGAGGTGAGGGAAAATATCATACTTTTATATGAAGTCGTGGTGATTGCAAAGTAAAGAAATTGAAAATAATAAACAAAAGCTTAGTCTCCCTATCACAAGAAAACATTTAGAAGACAAAATAATTACCAGAATAACAAAGTAAGAAAGAATGGAACAGCAATTTCTCCCTCTCCTGAATCTTTCCTTGTGAACAAATCATATATGTTTTGTGCAAACAATAGCTCAACATTCATAATCGGATTTTTGCTATAGTAAAAACCGTTTGCAGTAGAGATCAGAAATTCTCAAGAAACAACCAACAACCAATTCAGAGAACATAAAATTTTAACAGGAAATATAGGGACAAAAAAATGCAAATTGCAAGTCAAATTGATAAACATGTGTAAACTTAGCGTGTATTTAGCGGAGAGATCGATCTCGTACCTACAGGTTGCACGAAGATTAAGCATTATCTTGCTAAGCAATGATGAATCCTCCATTCGCGCTTTATTGACAAAAAACATGGAACATAAAAAAAAATCAGCAAACCGCATTAAGCAGAAATTAGTGCGACGAAATATTTCAATTGAAAATCACAGCGCAAAATCAATATCAAGGGATATGTTGCGCATACAAAATTGATAAACAATAGCAGAAATATCCTCCAATTCTCGTTCCAAATGAAAACTAAACTAAATTAAACCTATCTTAGCAACCATGCTTTTGAGTTCGATTTAGTACACAGTTATAAATTAAAATAGTTCCAAACAAACATGTCCATCGCCAGTTCTTTGTAAAGACGCGAAGAAAAATGATAATCAAGAATTGGAAAGAAGAAGATAAAGATAACGAAGAGAATTCAACGACAACTAAGGCACACTACCTATCGACGGCGACGCCGGCAGCAGTGGCGGGCGGGCGGCAGCACAGAGCTAATTGCGTGCAAATCTTTTAATCCAAAGACAGACCTCAAACCCAGACATTTCTACTACTTATCTATTTTCGTAAAACGCCCAAATACAATATTAATACTAATAGCTGCATTTACTCAGTGTCTGTTTGTTTTCGGATTTGGATTTTAAATTGAGATTTAAATAGTAAAAATTTTAAATTTAAATAATTGTACGATGTTATATAAATAACGACTGATGTGATGTTTTGAATATAAAATTGATTTTTAGTATAATATAAAAAAATAAAAAATAAGTGTTTGATTTGATGTTTAAAATCTAATCCCAAACAAACACACCCTAAAAGAATTGAATTGTAATATATATATATTAATTTATATAAAATGATATTTAATTTAAAATTATATATTAAATAATATTTTTCTTCAACAATATATAAAAATAGTCAAAAATATTTGGCAAAATAGCAAACTTCCCTTGTGGTTCTAAAACTTCAACAAAAAAAGTTTCCAAATGTTGCAAAAATCTCTCTAAGTTAGGATTTAACGGTTAACAATCAATTGTATATTAGCTCCTCAAATGCTTTTTTTTTTTAATGAACTGATATATTTTTGTATAAAATAACTAAAATACTTTTTTTACATTGAGCTTCTTCTTACTCATTTTTCTTCTTTCTTATTTTTCTTTCTTTATTCTTCTTGTTACTTTTAAAATTTAATCTCAATTCAATTTTTTTTTTTTTTAATTTTAAATCGGTTAAACACAACCAAATTTGAAATCGATCTTAAATTTATAACACAATTAATCGATCGGACATGAAGATGAAGACGAGAATGCTTGAGTTATTGCTCATGATTTTTTGTCTGTTTCACCAAACCCAAAATTGCTCTTCTCGTTCCAAACGTCGGTTCTCCAGTTCCTAAACTGACTATTACGGTTCAAATAGAAACTAGATTCAAACCGGCGGCAATTGTGAAGAACAAGAAAGAAAAAGAGTTGTGGCCGCGTGAAGAAACAAAGAAGAATAGGAGATGAAGTAAAAGAAAAAAAATTGAGGAAAAAGAAGAAAAGAAAGAATAAGTAGAACTGCCGGCCGCACAAAAAAAAAACAAATTGTGGAAAAAGAACAAGAGAAAGAGCAATAAATTAAAGAATATGGAAGATAAGAAGAATTTAGAGAAGATGGAAGAAAGAAATTTGGAGCAGTTGGGGGAAGATAAGAAGGTGTCGGCCAAAGACATAAATAAATTAAAAAATATATAAATAAGGTTACAACTGTCAAATCATATAAAATTTAATATCGGTTAATCAAATTTAGAGAGAATAGAGAGTGTGCAACAATTTGAAAATTATAAGTACGTTTTTTTGGAATTTTAGAAACACAAGTGGTTTTCAGCGATTCGGAAAATCATACGAAATTTTTTTACTATTTTGCCAAATTAATTCAGGAAAAACTATTTTTTAATTGCGATTCTCCATAAATAATAATAAACAATACAAAACACTCTTTATAAAAATTCAAAAATTTAAAAAAAATTAACTACTCGTTACAAAAATTAACTCATCTAAAAATATCGGATTAAAGAAGCTTATATGTATAATTAATATTAAAAATAAATCAACTATATTAAAAATAAATACTGATAGTCCATATTAAATTTTTTTAAAAAACTAGAAGAAAAGTATATCTATTGATGAAAAAAAAAAGTATTGATATTCATTTCATCTTTCCCCCAAACTTAGATTTGTTGGCTTCTTTATAATTCAAATCTATTTAATTCATATATATATATATATATATATATATTAGGATATAGTTTTTATGGATAAAGTTTTTTTTGTTATGTGATTTAAAAAAATTGTTTGATTTAGTAGGTGAATATTTTTTTAAAAAAAAATTGAATTTTAAAAATTATTTATTTATTTGTTATTGGTAAATACATATATGTATATAATTTTGTTATTATTTTTAATATATAAATTTTTATAATTAATTTTTTTTATTCTAAAAATTATATATACTTCATCTCATTGAAAGGTTGTCATTTTTTATTTTCGTCTGTCCTAAAACAATGTTATCATTTCCTATTTTAGTAATTGTACTACTTACCTAACATAATAAATACATTTCTAACTTACAATATATTAGAGAAATGTCTTTTATATTACACTATACTAATAATGGTATTTTTGTCTTTTTTACTACAATCAAATGTAATACTAATATTAAAAAATCTATTTTGCAAAAAACAAACGCCACTCTTTCATCGGGACGGAGGGAGTATTTATATTATTTGAGTGAATTATAATATCATTGGATTAATAAATACTCCCTCCGTCATTCAAATCTATTCTCACTTTCTTTTTTTGGTTGTCATTCAAATGTATTTTAGTAAAAAAATACCACTTTTTTTACCGAAAAATAAAAAATTTATATTCTTATATATTTTTCTTAAAATCCGTGCTCGGTCAAATGAGCACACAGTTGGATGACGGAGGGAGTATAATATTTACTTTGTATTATATATAAAATAAAATTATATTATGTTTATTTTATTTGATTATATTATATGATTATGTTTTTTTATTTAAAATACCTTTTATAAATATGATATTCATATTAATATAATATAAAAATATAACATTTTAAACGGATAATACAATAATTAAATATCACATGTTATCATTAATTTAAATCAATTAAATATACTCATAACATACACGGTAAAGTATGAACCATTGCTTTTATATGTAAGATTTTGATTGAATAGTAAAATTATAAATTAAAATAATTATTTGATGTGATATAAATATATATTAATGTAATATTTTGAATGTAAAATTAAATTTTAATGTAATATAATAAATAAAAATTAGTATTTAATTTGATATTTTTGGAGATAAAAAGTTATTGGACTAGTAAAATCTTGCACAAGTAAACATTTGTCTATTTTATTATTATTATTATTATTATAACGTGTAGACTAAAACTAATTAACTGGACCATTATAATCAGTTAATCACCCCTTAGTTAATCTTATTATAAAAAATAGAGCCAAAATTATTTTTAGTCCCAATTCAATATGATAATTATCAATTTTGGTTCAATTGAATTTTTTTTTTTTTTTTTTTATCAATTTTTGTCCCACATAAATTAAAATTTTATCAATTTTAGTGTCATAATAGTTGATTAGGATTGAACACGGCCGTATTGGATGATCAGAAGGATAACTGGACGTCCTTGACAGCCAACACGGCCGTGTTGATTACTCTGCACTTCGGAACACGGCCGTGTTTCTGCCCGTATTCTTCGTGACTCTGTTCACAACACAACAACAATGTTCTAGGCCATGTTCACAACTCTTTCCTCAATAGAGCCATGTTGTAGGCCATGTTTACGACCTGATTTTCAATATAATCATATTATAAGTCATATTTATTATTATTTTCACTTATTTTTAAAATTATTTGATATATATTTATACTTTAACAAAAATATTTTTTTTATAATTATCTCATAATATAAAAAATAATCAATTTTTGATATTTTAAAAAATAATAATAATAGTAATAATAATATATTAATATATATTTTTAATAATCGTAATTTTATATATCTTTCAAAATTTATAATAAAAATTTTAAAATTAATTTAATTTATAATTTTAGAAATATAAAATAAAGTATAAAATAATTATAGTTTATAATTTATAATTTAAAAAATATAAATATTACTATACACTGTAATTATTAAAAAATATATTAATATATTTTTATTAATAACAATGCTGTCAATTGAATTAGAGTTGGAAACAAAAGGATTCACGATGGAGTCAGAAATAACATGACTCTCGATGAAGTCGAAAATAACGGGACTTACGATAGAATCGAAAACAACAAGACTCTCGATGGAGGCGAAAATAATGGGACTCTCGATGGAATCGAAAATAATAGGATTCTCGATGGAGTCGAGAAATAACAAGACTCTCGATGGAGTCGGAAATAACAAGACTCTCGATGGAGTTGAAAATAACGGTACTCGCGATGGAGTCGAAAATAACGGCACCCTCAATGAAGTCAAAAATAAAAAAACTCACGATGGAGTTGGAAATAACGGCAGTCTCAATAGAGTCGAAAATAACGAAACTTTCGATGGTTTCGAAAATAACGGAACTCCCAAGATTGTCAGAAACATGGCTCTGGAGAATCAAAATCAAAATAAAATCAAAATCAGAAACGGAAATGACTAGAAATATAGAAAAAATCTCAAAATTGGGAGACATCGGGTACATTCCAAGTTAAACATACAGAAAGAAACGCGAGTTAGTAGACTATATCTACAGCAGGAGAAAAATAGACCATGATACCATACTAGAAATAAATTAGGAAAATTCAAAAATTCCATTGTTATTCATAACGAAAATAAAGGTCTATAAATAGGTATAATATACAGACTCGATAAACTCAAATCTAAATAAGATAAAACCAAATCTAAATCTAAATTTACTAAATCTAAAAACTGAATATCTAAAATATCTCAAGATATCATTCTAATATCGAATCTATCTATTTATACTATAATTCTCTCATTTCACTATCAATAATATACAATTTTGAAAACTCGGCAAAATATACCAACCCCTATAGCATGAGCATGTATGTATGTATAGTCATAGGCTACAATTATTTATACAAGTCGATGTGGTTTGGTTCTTATGTGAAGAATGAGAGAAAGAAAGATCCCTAAGCCACACAAACTCCCCCAAATAATGAATGTGGTTTGGTAGCAATTTTGGCCCATGCATTTGCCTTCAAAACTTGCAAATTTGTTGTATAATAGGGCCGCTAAATCCCCGAACAAGAACGTCCCAATCGGTATGTTCGACACCACAATGTTGTGATTTACCCCAAAATTTTTTACCCCGAAGAGCTCTGTTGTTGTCGTCACTGCGATTGAGGATAGGGCGCCCGTGCACGTGCCTATAATAGCAGTGCTTGTGTAAAGGAACATTGTGTGTTTGTTGAGCAACATGAAGAACGCTCCGCAAATAGGGACCATTATTGCGCCCATTGCGCCCCCGCCCGAGACCTTCCCTACTTTAGTCCTGCAATAATCGAAACCACGATTATATTAATTATACAGTCGTTATATCGAGAGAAGAAAATTAAATCGAGGAAGAATATGTTGTTTTAGTAATTTTTATCATTTTCGTTTGTCCCATTCCAAATATTTTTTTCTTATTTTAATAAAAGTAATCATACACTAATACCAAAAATAATCTTAATTTTTACATAAATTACAAATTTATCATTACACATGCAATTTCTTTTTACAAAGTCAAAGGGCAAATCTGTCAAAAACTTTTTACACACTTCCACTAATTAATAAAATACTATTATTTCTTAATCTACTACAAAATTCCAAATAACCCATCGAACCGAAACGGAGGGTGATGATATAGACAAGTAAGGAATGAATGGAATGTCTTTTCCACATGTCATGAATCATATACATTGCTACATTCTAACAACAACATTATTCGGCCGAACTAACTATAAGCCTAAATCCACCAATTTTATGACTTGTGGAAGCACAACAAACACAAAATATGTAATTATTAAATCGGCCCCTAATTAAATGCACCTACTCTGCCAATTTAGCATTAAAGCCCCCCTACCTACATTAATTGCACACACACTCACACACATATATATATATATATGTAGGCTAGCTCTACGGATTTTGTTGTGAGTTTGTGGCATAGAACAGCCCACATTTTCCTATGATTTGCAATCTAGTCCAAGCTTTTATTTTTGTGTCTATAATCTCCGACACGTTGGATCCTATATTCCTACTCCATACAAGTTATTAATTATATATACATATATATGTATATATGTATGTATATATTGCTACACTTTGTATTATCAATTTTATTGTATAATAATTTATATATATATATACTTTCTTGTAGCTTTTCGTCATATTATCGTACTGATTTGATTCAGTCAGCACATATTATCAATGCAGACAACGCATGTATATGTATATGATATAATTTTATGTAATACATAATATAATTTTATATGTCACAGTATATTAGTAATTTTAACACAATAAATATATTTGTACAATATAATACAAATATAAAATTTTACAGCGCATGCTTCTATATGTACGATAGTACACTACGCTATACTATATAAAATATATTTTGTATGTCTTATTTGGCCTAATCAGCACCATAACTATCGTTCTCTTTGTTAGTATGTAGTTAAATGATCATATTTCATTGGTTTTTGTCTTGGAATTCATTTTTCACATAATTGTTTTGTAATGGGAGATTTCAGTATGAAAAAAATAAATAAAACATAAACTAACTTATAAAATCAAAATATATTCATAGAAAATTGTATGGTCAAAATAATAATCATCCACTAGAGCAAACTGTCAATTTTTATTGAAATCATTTTTTTCAAAGACCATGGGAATGATTAAAAACAATCAAATTAAAGTGAGTAAACAATAAAATGAGGAAATACATATGAAAGAAGTAAAATATGATGTGATTCAAATGGCAAAGAATAGAAAATGACAACTCAAACAAATTGACTAAAAAAATGTATTCACATAGATTATTAAGAAGATAGTTTTATTTTGTCCCAAAAAGAGTTCTAATCACATAAATAAAAGTAGAAATGAAAGATTGTTTGGTTGTAGTTAAATTGTATTTCGATTAATATTTTATAAAAAAAAATAATAATATATTTTTATTAAAAATCCTATAGATTAAATAATAATTACTCGAGTTTGAAACTCAAATTAAACACAGTCAAAATGTGAAGAAAAATGAACAAGCGTATAAAATTTTGTTAACATTAACTAGTATTATACTCCCTCCTTAACAATAATAAGCTTATTTGATCTGAACATAAATTTTAATACGATGTATATTTTATTTATAGTAAAAATATAGAAAAAAAATAGTTAAAAAGAATAATAAAAATGAAATATATCTATTTTATGACAGATAAATATAAAAATGAGCTTAATTTTTATGATAGAGGGAGTATAATCTATTAATGTAGTAATAAAATGTTCGAAATTAAGATTTCACATTTGCAAGAAATAAGATAGAAAGAAAAGAAGAATTACTTTGAGCAAAGGTAGTCGAGGAGCGATGGGACGAGGCGGCCGAAGAATGTGAAAGCCGACGACAAAGAAACGAGCCAAGTAGTCCTAAAACAACCTCGCGACTCGGCTATTTGTCCGAGGTTGTTTAAATACACCAGTCCGAGCGTTGCGCCAAATAAGTACACAAAATAGTATAACCAAAAATCGAGTCGGCATAGCATCGCTTTAGCCCCAATTTCCTCGATAGAAGAACAATCCTCAAAATCCCTAATCTCACAACCCTCAATTTTCCCGCCATATTCAATAGCCGACATATTGTTAACATTATGGATCCGGATCGAGCACTTTTGCTCAATCCTTTCTCGGACATTTTCGTACAAAGGGACCAAAAGAGGCACGAGCAACATGGCCAGCATGGCGGCGACAACGGAGGCGGGGGACAGAACCGCAGTGAGATTGGTGGTCACGGCGAGGACGCCGGTGGCAATGGTGACGGCGAACATGGCGAAGAATCCGCGGGTCAGTTTCCGGGTCGGGTTGACCTGAACGGGTCGGGCAAATGGGGCAGCGGATATGCACACGGCGGGCGGGAGAAGGGCGCTGACGAGGAGGAACGCCTTGGCGCGGTCCGGCGGCGGCGCCGACGGGGCGACGGCGGCGTCGACGATGTCGGCATACAGCTTGGCGCTGAGCCCGACGTAGCTGCCGGAAAGCCCGACGGCGACGTGGCGGTCGAGGGGGAAGTTGTTGATGACGAGGATGTAGCAGACGGTGTTGATCCAGCATATGCTGTTTCCGGCGACGGCGGTGAGGAAGAACATGGCGGCGTACGACGGCGGCGGGAGGAGGTCGGCGAGGAAGAGGAATTGGAAGCCGTAGCCGGCGGAACCGAGAAGAGAGCCGATGAGGAGAACGAGCCAGAGGGGGAGGTGGGCGGCGGCTAAGCCGGATAGCCAGCCGAATAGCTTGCCGGCGTCGGAAGCCGACGCGAGGTTGTTGAGCTGGAGCTGGGAGATGGAGAGTCGGCGCTTGAGCTCAGAAGAGTAAGCCGGGAAGTTGGAGTTGGAGCCGCTGATGGACTGGAGCCATATGGCTCCGACTAGGCTCAGCCATTGGAGGGCCATTGCTTAGGGTTTGGAGATTGGAGAATATACATGTTTGTACGCACGTGTATATAAAGAAAATTTTCAAGGTAAATAAAAATAATAAATAAATAGATTGTATGTAATATGCTAGAATGGTTTTGTTATATTGAAATATATTGCATAATATTATACTTATTATTACATTGCCACAATTTTTTTTTATATATATTATTATTATTTTATTTTATTTGTAATATTTTGTTATAAGCATTTTTTTCAAAGTTAATTACCTTTCCCAAGGAAAATATAATAATATAAATAATTATAAATTAAGATTAAGATAATTAATTAATTTAATTTAAATTAAAAAAATTTTAAAAATTTAAAATGAGATTAAAGTGTGATTATTTTTCAAAAAATAAGGTGACATAGTGTGGGTCGAACAGAAACGACAATCTGAACAATAAAATATCTCATAATAAAATATTCAAACTCAAACTCAACTAAAACAAAACAAAATACTACCTTAAAAATATAATACTAAAAAATAATGATCAATCTTTAGAACTGCATAACGTATTAGATCAAAATTATATTATATCTTATAAATACGAGTTTGTACGGATCTGCCATTTGAAAAGTCTATCTTGCCCTTCATTTTAAAAATGACAATTTAGCCATTAACCTACTTTTGTACTGGCTTGAAAAGACGTTTTGGAACCGTCGTCAGCAACCGCCGTCAACCGCCCAAGACGAAACGTTTTGGAACGTCGTCTGGTCGGTTACATCAACCGCCTCGCCAAACGCCTCCACCAGTTCCAAAACTCAAATAGCCCACCCAACCAATCCAGAGACCAATCGGTAGACCAAAAGACTCATTGGCCGCACCCACCAAGCGACCTTTCTATCCGCCTGCGGACCAGCTGACTTGCCTATGCGACCGCAGACCAGCCGACCTACTTTATCCGATCGTAGACCATCAGAAATGTCTGTCCGACCTTCTGACCATCAGACCTGTCTGTCCAAACGCTAACCATCCGACCGAGGACCAACCGATCAGATCAACCGACCGAGGACCTTCCGACTTACCTATCCGACCACTAACCAACCGACCTGATCATCCGACCGAGGACCAATCGACCAGACCAACCGACCGAGGACCTTCCAACCTGCCTATCCGACCGCTAACCAAACTACCTGACCATCCGACCAACCGACCTGAGCGCAAATTTTTCTCCTTTTCCATCCGACTTCGTGTCTAACTTCCTTTAAGATCCCGTTATCCTTATTTTTATTATTATTATTATTATTATTATTTGTGCGTAACAATTATCAAAGTTGAAATATCATTGCTATTTTTGACATTTCAAAACTCATAAAGAGATGCAGGGTCACCCTTCTTATCTCAGTCTTCCCGCCTGCGGACCAGCTGACTTGCCTATCCGACTGCAGACCACCATCAGACCTGTCTGTCCGACCGCTAACCATCCTACCGAGGACCAGCCGACCATACCAACCGATCGAGGACCTTCCGACCTGCCTATCCGACCGCTAACCAACCGACCTGATCATCCGACCGAGGACCAACCGACCGAGGACCTTCCGACTTGAGCGCAAATTTTTCTCCTTTTCCACCCGATTTCGTATCTAACTTCCTTTAAGATCCTGCTATCCTTATTTTTATTTTTATTATTATTATTTTTTGTGCGTAACAATTATCAAAGTTGAAATATCCTTGCTATTTTTGACATTTCAAAACTCATAAAGAGATGCAGGGTCACCCTTCTTATCTCAGTTTATCCGCCTGCGGACTAGCTGACTTGCCTATCCGATCGCAGACCAGCCGACCTACTTTATCCGACCGCAAACCATGAGACCTGTCTGTCCGACCGCTAACCATCCGACCGAGGACCAACCGACCAAGAACCTTCCGACCTGCCTATCCCACCGCTAACCAACCGACCTGATCATCCGACCGAGGACCTTCCGACCTGCCTATCCGACCGCTAACCAACCCACCTGACCATCCGACCAACCCACCTGACCAACCGACTTAAGCACAAATTTTTCTCCTTTTTCACCCGGCTTCATGTCTAACTTCCTTTAAGATCCTGCTATCCTTATTATTATTATTATTATTATTATTATTATTATTATTATTATTATTATTATTATTATTATTATTATTATTTTTTGTGCGTAACAATTATCAGAGTTAAAATATCCTTGCTATTTTTGACATTTCAAAACTCATAAAGAGATGCAGGGTCACCCTTCTTATCTCAATCTATCCTTCTGCGGACCAGCTGACTTGCCTATCCGACCGCAGACTAGCCGACCTACTTTATCCGACCGCAGACCAGCCGACCTACTTTATCCGACCGCAGATCATCAAACATGTCTGTCCGACTGCTAACAATCCGACCGAGGACCTTCCGACCTGCCTATCCCACCGCTAACCAACCGACCAGACCAACCGACCGAGGACCTTCCGACCTGCCTATCCGACCGCTAACCAACCCATCTGACCATCCGACCAACTGACTTGAGCTCAAATTTTTCTCCATTTCCACCCGACTTTGTATTGAACTTCCTTTAAGATCCTGCTATCCTTATTTTTATTATTATTATTATTATTATTATTTGTGCGTAACAATTATCAAAGTTGAAATATCCTTGCTAGTTTTTACATTTCAAAACTCATAAAGAGATGCAGGGTCACCCTTCTTATCTCAATCTATCTGCATGCGGACCAGCTGACTTGCCTATCCGACCGCAAACCAGCCGACCTACTTTATCCGACCGCAGACCATCAGACCTGTCTGTCCGACCTGCTGACCATCAGACTTGTCTGTCCGACCGCTAACCATCCGACCAGACCAACCGACCGAGGACCTTCCGACCTGTCTATCCCACCGCTAACCAACCGACCGAGGACCAACCGACCAGACCAACCGACCGAGGACCTTCCGACCTGCCTATCCGACAGCTAACCAACCCACCTGACCAATCGACCTGACCAACCGACCGAGGACCAACCGACCTGACCAACCGACCTGAGCGCAAATAATTCGATTGTATTTTTGTTTTACAGTTTATATTTCAAATAAATAATGTTTCACTACATTACATTATAGAATAGTCGCGCGGTATACCGCGCAAGAGCGTGTTCTAGTATATATATATATGCGTAAACTGTTCTTTTAGTCCCGTAACTGGACCCCTTTATCATTTTAGTCCCGTAAGTGGATCCTGTCGCAAACTAGTCCCATAAGTGAAAAATTTTCGCTGTTTTAGTCATCCGGCGCCGAAGACGCCCGCGTGGCTCGCCGGAGGTGACGTGTCCGCCAGGTGTCCCGCCGGGTTAGCGACATCTGGCGGACACGTGGATTTATTTATTTTTTTTCAATTTATTTTTTATTTTTTAAAATTAAATCAAACTAAAAATTAAAAATATATAAATAAAATTAAAAATAAATTAAAAATAAGTTTTTAAAAAAATTTAAAAACATAAAAATAAAATAAAAAAATCTACGCTGACCTGGCGGACACGTCACCTCCGGCGAGCCACGCGGGCGTCTCCGGCGGCAGAGGACTAAAACAGCGAAAATTTTTCACTTATGGAACTAGTTTGCGACATGCTCTACTTACGGGACTAAAATGATAAGGGGGTCCAGTTACGGGACTAAAAAAACAGTTTACCATATATATATTTATTGTACCTTTTATCTCATAACTATAATTTATAAAAATATTATTGAAAAGTTACAATAAAAGTAAAATATATATATTTATATTAAGATTATAGCATGCTTTATTTCTTTGTGGATTCCAAATTTAAATTTAACTATTTATTAAATATGATCAAATCGAATTTCTAATTTTGATTTTATATTAAATTTAAAATTAATTTTATATTTAAATAACGCATCAATATATATTACTATTATTACTACATTAACAAATATTTTCATTCAAAATTTTAATAGTTAAAATCACAAATTCAATTTCAAAATCCTTTCAAAAAAAAAAAAACACACACACACATAAGAAGTGCATGAAAGTGAAAAAGTAGGAAAAATAAGTTTTTATGTGTGTTTATTTGTAAGATTTTGGTTATTGATTTTGAATAGTAAAATTTTGAATTGATTAGTCGTTTGATGTGATATAAATATGTATTGTTGTGATGCTTTGAATGTAAAATTAAATTGTAATGTAATATAATAAATAGAAATTAGTGTTGAATTTGATATTTTTGAAAGAAAAAAAAATTAAAATAGTAAAATTACGTAAAAAATTGTAAAAAAAAATAGTACCCTTTTACTAAAAAATATTAATATTTTTTTTATTGACAATAATGAAGAAAGTTAAACAACCAACCCATATATTAATGTATTTATATGTTTTTGTACATTTATTATTATTATTATTATTATTATTATTATTATATTATGAAATACAACAATGATGGCATGTAATATTTGGTTTAAGAAAACAAATATACTAAAATGATAAAGGTATATAATAATAAATAAATAAATTAAAAAAATACCCCCTCTGTCTCATGTATCGTGTCCGTGTCAGTGTCACTGTAGACAGGAGAATTTAGAATAAGTATAATTAGTAAATAATTAAGAATGTATTAGAAAAAATAATTATTCTATAATATAAATAATTATAGATTAAGATTAAAATAACTAATTACTCTAATTAAAATTTAAAAAAATTATAAAATAAAAAATTTTAAAATGAGATTAAAGTGTATAATTATTTTTCAAAAAATAAAAATGACACGAAACGTGGGACAGATAAAAACAGCAATGTGAACATGGTAGGTGGGACGAAGATAATATAATATGGAATGATAGGTTGGTTTCAACTTCAATTTCAATTAACAATCATACTTTTTTATATTCAATTCAAATGGATCATATGAAATTTTATAGTAGATAGAACATAATAGATAAAATTGAATATTTCATGGATATCAATTATCATTTTTGTTATGTATTATCTTGCTGGTAAAATATATCTTATATATTTGCAAAAATCGTTATTTATATCTACTGT